ATGTCAATAGTTCGAGTAACACTAACTTATATTCCATTTCAACCACAATGTAATTCGATCAAGATACATGACAAAATTTACACTAACCTCCATAAGTTTGGCAACCTTAGCTCCCCCATTGAACTACGTGTTAAGGCCTCTTTACCTTTGAATTTTTATTTACTTAACCTACTATGGAAATACTTATACTATTGATGGAAACGTAATTTGACTTTATTTCCAATACCTCCAAATTTTCTCAATTTTTTCCTTAATTACAATAAGTCGAAATTTGATGAATTTTGGAAAATCGGCATTCCCATGTTAACCAATGGGAAATGGCAGGTTTGCCGCAAGTAATATGACAGAATATCCATCCATCCGAGTTCTTCCAAAAATACGACTTGGCAGGCAATTGAATTTTCTCACTTTATTTAACAAAATTGATATGTTACTTCAGGTTCAACAAAGTTATAGGGCTTTAAAGTCAAAATTGTCAAAAATCCTCTCCCATTGAAATAACACAGGAGGCGAAAAATGATCAAATTTATCAAAATTATCATCAATTTTCGACCTATTATAATGGAGGAAAAAATTGAGAAAATTCGGAGGTATTGGAAATAAAGTCAAGTTACGTTTCCATCAATATTATAAGTTAAGTAAATAAAAATTCAAACGTAGAGGCTTTAACACGTAGTCCAACGAGGGAGCTAAGGTTGCCAAACTTATGGAGGGGAGTGTAGATCTGCCAGACCAAGTATTGAACGTTTCAATACAAAGTTAGTTGCTTTGTGTATATATGGAATATATTTTTTCATTTAACCATTAAATTCTTCGATTTCAACATGCTCTCAAATGTTAATAAATGGAAATGTTTCAAATATTTTTTTCATGGACCCGTCAAGTCATCAATTTGCTTCAAATTATACAGATACCTTTTTATATGATGACATTAATTTCTACAAGATGAACTGAAAATTATGTCGCAGAGATTCAAAATTGTCACCAATTTACCAAATATCGTTATCGAAACAGGGAATATGGTACTATTTCTGAGATGGTTAGATCAAGGAAGGCTAAGATATTTGAATGGAGAATTCTTCATATCCACCAATTGGATTGGAACAAAACTAAATTGGATGAGACCAGATTCCCTAAAGATTCCTTTCCATTTCTCTAGTCCATGATATCAACACTTTCAATCTAAGTCTAAGCATGGATTTTGAAGGTACATACATACATTTAGCTGTGTTACAATCGCATTAGTCATATGACCCCAGTGCCCAAGGTACTATTTATTCATAATTGCTTTTTAGATTTAGGTATGGATTTCAAAAATGTTTTCATTAGAGAAGCCGAAGTCAACAATGCAATTGCTGATATTATGCCATCAACAGTTTTTAATTTTAGCGTATTAGATGTGAAAATACTTCATTTTCGTTGACATTTGATGGTACAATTGATTATGATGATTTGATATTCATGTCAAACTTTCAAATATAAAAATTCAGAAATTATCAGGTTCTATTTCAGGCAAAGTTAATTACTAGTGATTGTCAATTAGTCCCATATTGCCCTTTCAACTATTTAAAAGGATAACTTAGTATATAGATAGCTGGTCGTGGAACTTGACTTCTCCAAGTTCAAGTGGATTATCGATAAAGAGATAATTCAATCAAATAAAATGGCTATGTTGCACTTTGTGTCGATCTTTGGTCACATTGTTTCACAAGCATAAATCATTGTTTACTCATATTCAATATTTAAAAATAGTCACCCTAAAATGTAATAAATATTTTCTATTGCATCACAAAGTGAATGGGTTCAAGTGAAATTAGTGCATTCAACACATCTTCTAAGAATAAATAGACAAGGCAATCTCATGGTACAGCAGATATAATCGTTTTATTACATACATTTTCGAAAAACAACAATACCGTTACATTTTTTTTATTGAATAAAACATGAAACAATACATTTAACAAGGCAAAGATAAAATATTAAACCACTTTCACACCACCTCCATTCATTCAGATATTCGCAACCGTCATACCCAAAAACTCTGGTGTATATAAAAACATAGTATTTTCAAATTGAGTCTAGCTCGTCCAGTTTGGGATTTACCTCATTAAACTGTTTTGCATATATATACTGTAATATTTGATTACTGGTGATAGCCTATTTAGCAAAATACATATTTAGCATAACACCATATCATGGGCATTAAAATCAAGATTTACATTAAATAATTTCTCTAAATTCTCTTTAATAGCTTTCAAAAAATCTGAACCCGCCTACACTACCAAAATTTGCGCTTTTTAAAGTGTCTCTTAGTGGACAGTCACTACAATTAGCATCATGTTTAATTCCTATCTGCGTTAAGCAAGCCGTTACATTTTGATTATGTCTTAAAGTTGTTCATTAGATCGAGAAGAAATTCGTTTAGCGCATTAAATGATCACAATTTTCAAAAATTGACAGAAGAACATTGTATACTTGCTTTACTCTAATCAATACTTATTCAAAAATACAACTGCTTTTGAATGTGTCCAAGTGCACGTGTATTGTTTTAAACAGAAAATGTAACTATTCATTTGCCATTAGTTCGTGAGTCTCAAAGCTCAACAAGTCACTAATAACCTACAAGAATACAATGTTCATATGACAAATTGAATTTCAACTTGAAAGAGGAACAAAAGTACATATTATCAGTATTTTTGATATCTCCTCCATAATGCGTTAGCAAATGATTGTTTGATTGTTTTATTACTGAGCTACACGAGTCGCTCGATCACATTGCCGCTTTTAAAAGTATTTCATATTTCGATTTAAGTTCATCGAGAAACATTTTTTAGATAAAAAAGATATAAGCAAGGTGAATATTTTTTAAAAAAACTTTGAAAATTAAATTTTCAATAAGATACTGAAATAGTATCACGATAACCCAAGCCATTCCATTTCATTGCTTCTCGGAAATGAGATGCTATGATACATCAGCTTTAAAGACCCCTAGCAAAGTTTGAAAATATCGTTTTGTACAGCACTTTGCACTAACAGTTATTTCTACGCTTCATTCCAAAGATTATTTCTTAAAACATCTTTAATGGTGATTGTTTGGAAAAAATCAAATTTTGCGATGGAAACTCGGACAAATTGTTCATCAATTCCTTATGTTTTGTATCCTCCAACACATGCTCAACATATTCAATTTAGTAACTAATTCGATATAATTGAGAATTTATATATGACAATCATTTAAATACAACATTGGATTAAACTAATTTCTGAAAATAGTTGTTTGAAATAATTATTGTGAATTGATGAAATCTTAATGTTTGGATGATACAAGATATTGGACAGCAAAACCTAGATGCACCACAAAAATAACAGTATTTTGCCTGATGTTTTCATTGTTTGTCATTTAAGAGGTAGCCCTTAAGGGCACTTTCTGGCGAAATCTTAAACAAATGATGCATCAGCAATATTACTTCAACCAGTATGTTGGAGGATACAAAATATTAGACAAATGGTATATGCATAGAAAAAGTATTTCATTGCATGAGTAACACTCATCTAACATCGCTCTTTAAGAACTGATGTCAAACATATTTTTTATGTAGTTTGGAAAACATCAACGCAGTCGATGCTCTGTGTGAACTGTATTCCTTTGTTTTTTTGTGATGTTGTGATGACATCAAAATAGCACACAATTGAATGTTGGTATCAACCCGGGTTATCAACACAAGCGACGCAGGCTATAGTAGAACAACTGATTTTAAAAACATCAATTATCGTAAATGCCCTCTTCTTAATTTTTTCAACACAGAATAGATTATGGTTTGCGCTATTCATTGGTGTGAATTACTACTTGTTAATAGATGCGTGTGACAAAAAAGTATCCCAATTTTTCAAACAAAATGTTATTCAAAATAACTTTCTGACTGAATTAAGAAAGGTTTTCTCAAATCAAATCTGATAACATTAGATAAACTACAACAGAAGCCAAAGTGGTTTAAACTATTCCAGGGGCCTTTAACGATCGAACAAAAAGATTAAAAACCAACATTATTTCAAACCCACTCAAAGGGGTCGTGGAAATGAAACAAATCCAGCAAGTATACACTGTTAGAGACCTAGCATTGGGATGGATATCTCAGTTCCCACTAAATGTGAGGTCTCATCAACCACCATCATGACCATGCAATCCGCAAACAATACATTCATGGTACATATCTCATAGATCTCATATTTTATAAATGCAATTTACAAAAACGTTATTTCATTTACATATAGCCTTATGTTTATTTCTTAAATATGTAGGCTGCTTTTATGCAGTTCTTCATAATAAAAATGTCCAATCAGTCAACTAATAATACCGTGCTATGATTGTTACTATTGAAAGGGGTTCGAGGGTGTAGAGAGTATTGAATCTCCGGGAACCCGTAGTTTCTAGAACAAATTCTCATAATCAATGATTTCACAATGGTTATGAAATTATGTTTTAAACAATTATCAAACTGTGATTTATTAAAATTAGCCATGTTGGGCCGATACGGGAGTAAACAACTATTCTCTTGACTTGAGTTCTACTTGGTGGGTTATCAGCTTAACGAGGTCAAACGTCAACAATTTGGCCCACAATCTCGATTTTCATATTTCTATTTGTTCTTAATCAGCTGGTTTGTCGAAATCTGCGCCCGGATAGGGAGCGTGTCAAGAATAACCACTTCGCAATTGAATTCAAGAAAAATTCCATTAAACCAAAATAGTTTGTTTCTCTGTGTCGTTTATAAAATGAGCCAAGCGTTTAGCTTAGAGCCATTACACATGCACCATATATATTTTGAACATTATGATCCCTTTCTCCCACCAGAGTTCTTAAGTGAGTGGGTTAATCTAGGGCTCTGTTAAATGCAGGTGAAGATGTCAGCAAAATTTTGCATGTTATCTCTTCAATTTTGTAACTTAATCAAAAATGGCCTATGACCCCTTGGTATATAAGAGTCTGTGAGGCCCGAAAGAGGCAATTAGAACCTGTGCAGGGCTTTAGACACTAAATACGCAGCAAATAAGGAATAAAGAAAAGAAGAGAATAAGTCCAAGATGGTTTTGGCTGCGAAAGCCCTTGTTTTGTCTGCCATATTGGCAGTCATAAGCTGTGGTGAGTCAATATTTAAATTAATTTATATATTATTAAATTTATTAAAAGTGATTTTTTAAGTATATATTTTTCTCTAAAAATCAAGCTTCATTCATTTTTATGTCTGACTATAAAACTAGAGTTTCTATTAGTTGGTAGTCATGTCAATAAACATATCACAAATTAAAAGATAAGTAAAAATGATAAGGAAATGAACTAGGAAAACTTATATATTAGTATTTTTTGGTTTTGTATATTATAAATCAAATGAATTATTGACGCCATGCAACATCTAGAGGTATCAAATTTGAAATTCAATTGTCAAACAAATAAAAGAAAACTTTAATGAATTTCAGATATATTTAAAGTTTGAAGCGTTGTTTTGCGTTTTAATTTTTTTTAGTTAGGAATTTAGAGAGGATCAGTATCTGACATAAAATACACCAAAACTCGAAATAATTCAGATTAACACTTCTCCTTTGTTGTTGAAATGAATTGATCTATTTGCATTCGATGTTGTAATGAATTGAGCAAATTGCAATATAGAATGTTGCAAAGTACTTACGGAAAGAATTTTGTTTCAACGTCTTGTATAAATAAATCTGAAGCTTCCATGGTTAATATTTTTAAATAAAGGATCCATTAGGGGCTGAGCCCCTTTAACTGAAATCATGTTTATTATCATACTAGTTTGGATTGTATTTCGCTCTTTTTGTATTCTCTTAATGATGGGATGTTAATTTCTGCTTGTTATTTTGTGTCCTTTGTGTACAAGTCACGGGGAATTATAAGTCCATGTGAACGGATGTTGTAAACTAACGAAGCGGTTTTGTACAATAACGAATAGAGAATCTTGTCTCGGGATCTTTAAGACTTTATTTTTTTATTTAAGACTTCCTCTTCCTTAAGTAGAGTATCTATAAGTATTGTCAGGACAATCAGACAAAAGCTTAAACATTGATGTGTCGTGTATCTTATCATGTTCTAGTGTTTTTGCCAACACTTATACATCCAGGGCTCGACCTTTTCAACAATTAAGATTGTCAAATGGCTTTAATTGTTTGATAAAAAGTGACATAGATAACACAGAAATTGTTTTTGAATATGATGCCATGTTTGTGTTTATACACCGAACAGGGTCTTAATTACTAGTCAAATTACAAAGTCTAATGGTATACGTGAATCCGTTTTTATTTTGCTAATTTAGTCCAGGTCATTTTTGGATAGAATTTGGAATTGTGAAATAAATGTATCAGGACATGGAGAATAAATTATCAAATGCTATAAATCATTTTCTGCTTATAAAATGTCCTTGGAATTTGGCCACATTATCAGCTGTGTAGCTTTATTTATAAATCCAGGTGAATTTTCGCACTGATTTATCATTTTATAATACTGTGACCTCAGAGTCCTAATCCTGATTTGAACATTTTATCAAACTTCACCTTATTAAACTTCTTTGTTCTTCTATCTTGCTAAATGCTCATAAATCCCTTTGTATCCTTTACTTTTTTCCTTTATCCTAAATTTCGTAAGTCACATATCATACATCAACGTGCTCTGAAACTCCTTTGAATAGAGCTGTTTCAATCATTTTTACAATTAACATCAGTTTAAAAATCCAAGGATTCTAAATTGAAGTTATTGGAAAATACCATATTTTGTAGACTCCAGATCGACTTTCTCATCTAATCATTCTAGACACAATTTGTAACTTAACTTCATAATTGTAAGAACACCGAATTGACCGATACTCAAAAATATATGAGCATTACTATTTACGATGGTCCGTTTAGATAATTATTTTTTCAAAAAGATGGTAAAACATTGGTAAAATACCTGACAAGATTGCTTTGAGAGAACAAATTCTTTTCATTTCATTTATACATTTATTTATATAATTTAAAATTATGTCTATTTATTTAGAATCTTCCACAGATTACTCAATGACAATCCAGTTTTCTAAATCTAAACCTTAATCTTCTTTCAGGTCCAGTGGATGTCCGATTAACTTCCGAGGACAAATGTTACACCACATGCACAGGTAAATCTAATATTTTATACCACATGCACAGGTAAATCTCATATTTTACACCACATGCACAAGTAAATCTCATATTTTACACCACATGCACAGGTAAATCTCGTATTTTACACCACATGTACCGGTAAATCTCATATATTATGTCTTCTTTAGTTTATATAAGAAACTTTTTCGATAAATCCTGGCACCATTATGGTGAACTAAGGAAAACAGGGTATATTGGGTAGAGTTATTGTGCCAATATGTCATTCTTTTCAGGCTGCAAGGTTTTATTTGTAAACAAAATTGTACTTTTTGAAATTTTGAAAATCTGCAATTACGTTAATCGTAATTACTGCCTGAAACTGACTATTTCATGATTTACTGGATTGATCTCATCTGAACGACGATTTTAAATGTAAGATTCGATCATGTTTTTCAGTTTTGAGGATTCCCATAGGCCCTTATATTGATTTCTGTTTTTGCATAACATGGTTTTGCTTGCTTGTACTTTCAATCAAGTGTAAGTTTAATATACACGATTATCAAATCAAATGATTTCGCAATGCCAAGAAAATTCTCTTTATCCCAAGCAACGTGTCAAACGTTGACCAATCGCACTTAATTTTTTTACTTAAACTTGACATTCAGGACACTGATAATTGTTAAATGATAATTGATAACTGGATTTAATTCGTTATGACACATGTTCATATACATGTAAATTAATTTCGTCATTCAAATAGATCAAAAGAAAGGCGGGGTGTCATGGTCGCGAACTTTTGGAGTTTGGATACCGGTATAGATAAAAATGTCACCACAAGCAATTGATTGTATGACATGAAGCAGTGGATGATTAGCACGCTAACAATTAAAACACGTACATTAAGTTAAGGTTTTTGGGTGCACCAGAACTTTGATTTTTTAAATGGCAAGCTTCATAATGTCATTTTCAGCGATGTCATCTTCAAACTTAAAGAGAGAATCAGATCTAGCACGCAGTTAAACAAAAAATTGTTTCAATTTAAGAATATTTCTGGCTTATGTCATTCCTTTTCATGTCTATTTTCTAAAAATCCCCAAAGTGCACACTTTAATTATTTCATTAAAACTCAGGATTTTTACAACAATATATTATTTTTCTATAAGAATGGTTACAATTCTTATTATTTTGGAGAATTTAAACATTTTTCACCCGTTTTTGCACTTTTAATCCATTATAACTTCACCAATTTATAACACAGCGTGAATCATTTGGGAGATATTGTATTTGAGGTTGTAAGGAATAGATTATTAGGTCAACTGTACACCTTGCTTGTAATTTTGTCACCCCCATATAACTGATTCTGCCTTTAATATGCAATCCAACTTCTTTATCCCAAAGATTGTTAATATCATTATTTCTTCTATCATTCACATGCATGTCCCCATCGTGAACTAGTGCTTTGTCTTGTAACATAATTTCATACCGTGTTAGATAACAGTTCTTTTATAATCTGAACTAAATTTCATAATTCTTATTATTAGTTATCTTATTTACATTACACAGATGTACACTCCTTTACAAAAGGTTTGGTAACTCCAACTATCCCAATTGGGCGTGTTAAACTCAGTTTATGTTTGGCAATTTAAAAACTTCAAATTTGTTTATCATTTCCGACCAATGGTTATTGCAGAAAAACACGAATAGTCAAATATGAACAGGCTTTGCATATTATATAATGGCTACTGACGTGTCGCCAAACTTTTTTGAGTAAATCCAAATCATATTGCATCATTGAAAAATTAAAATAATGGAAATTTCAATCCATTTTTTCAGAAAGTAACAAATTCAACTACCTACCGGGTAGGACATATCGATTCCAGTATGAGGGAGAAACGGTTACAACGACACAAAGCAACGAACACTCGAGTTTACATTTTAGGGCGACGGCCGATATAGAGGCCATTTCGAAATGTGAAATGGCTCTAACGGTAAGTCACCACCCAGTAAACTTCTCTAGAAAGGTTATCATTGATTTAATGAAAATCTTATACTGTCTCTGTAATAAAGAATCTATACAGTTTTGCTTCGAGAATATTACATAGAATACCCGTTATTACAAAGTTTTTTATCTCGAACAATTCTAATAATCTGATGATTTTCAGCTTTCAGACGTAACGGTGGAAGAGTCCGATCCAAGGGACTTGGCCCGCCGTTTCAGATCTGAGGGAGAGGCCGCCCTGAAGGAAGCCCTCGAGAGCAGTGCCCTGAGATTCTCTTTCCAAGATGGACAGATTGCAGAGCTTTGCCCTGAACGTGAAGAGAGTCAAATGGCGCTCAACATCAAGAGAGGAATTCTATCGGCCTTCCAAAACAATATGGAATCTCTAGAGCGCGATCACTCTGGCTCAGAGGTAACTATTGGCCTTAATGTTTTGCAAACATGAGATTCTTGTTTAATGGACGTTGAACATCTTGAACATTCAACATTCATTCGTTTTTGTTCCTTCGACTTAATTTGAGTTCATGTCGTTCACTTTGCAATTTACCATTTTCTGTACTCATAATAGTTAATAAATGAATACATCTGTTGTTACGTAAAATTAGCTCTGAGATGTGGGATCAACAAATTAATATTAATTACTTTTGTCATTGTAATGACACTAGTGAAATATCCTATTACCTCTCTCCATTTACTCACCTCATACTCAAGATAACATAGTACCCAGACACGCATTTTGATCTCTATATATAACGGGTCTTCCGTTCTCAGTTATCATTAATGATAATCACTTGCTTATTAATACTAGAAAGAGTATTTGAGAGCTCAACTGCAAAGAAAGTGAACTCTAAACTAATGATACACCTGATGATACATGATACAAATATGACTTATGTTTTAAGACTGATGTGGCCGGCAATTGCCCTGCTGACTACACCGTCACTGAGAACAGTTGGGAAAAGATCGTTGTGAAGAAAAGCAAAAATCTCGTTGGTTGTACTGACAGACACAACTATGGCAACACCTTCCATGGAGTTGCTTACAGCGTCGACTCCGTAAGTAGAAGTTATCTATTTAGTGATACCTATGATAATTAGGCAAATTAATCTGAACGTGCCATCCCATTTATAAATTTTGATTATCATCATTTATTTCAATTCTCAAGAATATGGACATTTCAGCATCTCGATCTTCAATTGTACAGTTGAAAAGATTTGTCATTGTCATCAACCGTTTTTACAAACAAAAATAAGGATTGTAAGGGAAACATCTCATTAGTGGGCATGTTGTCTAAACGATTGCTTCCAAATGTATCCCTGCAGGAAATGTATACACTGTTATGTTGCAATTTCAGTATCTAAAAAAGTAAAACCAAAATTTACGATTTGTTTTAGGACATCCAATCGCTCCCTCTGATGAAGAGTACCCATGACTGTGAACAGACTTTGCACAAGCAAGGCCGTCTTCTTGCCAGTAAATGCCAGGAGAGCCATGTATTCCGACCATTCAATGATGAAAAGACCAGCTCCAACACAACCACATCCCAGAGCTTGACCTTCGTCAAAGAACACAATGGACCAAGAACAAGAGGTATGAATAGGGCAATGTCCACTCAATTATACAATTTATAAGATAAATCCCTTTTAAGTATCCCATTATTTAAACTATATATCATTATACAAATGAAAAATGTTCAATTCATGAGAGTCAAGAATGTGAATTCGGTTTATCGTTGTCAGGTTACAACATTGAACTCATTGTCGACCATTTATAACTTTTCACCTGGATAAGATCAATACTGGGGGTGTGTTTACCACTGGCTACATTGAAGTAATCATGTTCTATCTATTGGACGCACTTATCCTGACACTTATGAATTAATATAAAAGTACATTAATTTACAAACTATTTTGCTACAATAATCAAAGTAAAATTTGCTACAATAATCAAAGTTAATGCAAACTGAACCTTCTTAAATCATTGTTCTTTCTCAATTTTTAAATAAGATCGCCACAAGAGAATTCCCCCGATTAGTGCATTTTTGGTTCAACTTTTCGTGAAAATGTTGTATAACAGGTGACATATTTTTGATAAGCTTCATCTAGGAGAGAACTTTGACATTTGAACCTAAAATCTTGACATAGTAATCTGAAAAGCTATCATAAGATGATAAAATTATTCCATCCATTGTATGCCAAGCTGAAGATAAAATTCAAGGTTAAGAGAACCAATGTAATAAAATATAATTTTATTTTTCAAAAGCATCCATCAAACAATTAAATCAAAATTTATAAGGCAAAATGCCGGCATTGCAATATTATTTTAACAACCAATATTTAATTTCAATATTTATGTCACTGGCGATTCCCAAGACTGCTCTTATTGTAAAAACATCTTATTGTATAGTTCAAATTTGCAAAAACAATTCAGACAAAAACAAAGTACGTTAATCAGTCATTGTAAATAATTTTGGCGGAAAACTGAAAATAATCGGAAATACTCACTATCAATTTAATCAAATTAAGAGGTGTTTGTAACCTTTTCAAGAGTTCTAGATGAGCCAAAATTCTTCAAAATATTATAAAAGAAAATAATTTTAAAGGCTCTTTGTTGAGCATTCCCATTTCCGACACATTTCTTAATCATGAAAGTTTACTTTTACTTTAAACGCTAAAACACTATCATTTTCAAATAGATTTGTTCGATTCTGACACATCTTTGTGTAACATGTATGCTGTATATTCTGTGGAAATTAATGCAAGCAGTACTTCAACCCATTACGCTGCTCCCAATTTTAGATATTATAGACATAAATATGTATTTTAAGGTCCAATCACCCGTCGCACCAACATGCTTTTCGAACACGCCGATGAAACCGAGGAAAACAACAAGGATTTCTCCGCTGCCCAGTCCAAACTCCGTGAAATCTGCCAGGCTACTTCAAGCGATGTCAGACCAGAGACCCCACGACTTTTCACTGAACTCGTCTACATCATGCGCAAATTGAACAACTTTGGACTTAAGAATCTGCAGAAGATTGCCACCAATGGAAAACCATGCCAGCAAGCAAGGTAAACTTAGTCTAGAAAATATATAATCATCAAGTTTATTTCAAACACTCATTTATAACCCTAACAAACAATTGCTACTTCTGTACGAGGATATACTTTGTGTAGAATATCTATACTGACTAACATATATATTTCTCTGTGACTTTACAACCATACCTACATATTATGCAATCTTAATCTTGTAGGAAATACTTTTTCGATGCCCTCCCCATGGCTGGATCCAGCGCCTCAATCAAACTGATGAAGACCCTTTTGATCACCGGAGAAGTTACTGGACTAGAGGCTGATGCATGGTTGACCGTCATGGCTTTCGTACAAAACCCTACCCAGGAAATGATCGATGAACTCCAGGTACTAACAAAATATAATTTTAAACGCATGAATAATGCAATAATGGTCTATCTGATTAAAAATGTCTATATTTATGTTAGCACACATATCTCATAAACTCCATCGCTCTTCAGGATATCGTATCCAGCCCTAAGACCAGCAAGAAAGCTATGCTTTCTGTATCCACCATGATCTACAACTTCTGCAAGAACAACGGAAACTGCAAGAGCAACGGAGCTGTGAGAGAGGTGATCAGAGTCTTTGAGGAAAATCTTAACGGAGACTGCCGATTCAACAACGCTGAAGAGCGCGAGAAGGTCATCCTTTCACTGAGAGCTCTCGGAAACGCAGGACAATCCGTCAATGCTATTTCACTCCTCAACAGATGTGCTATGGGAAGAAACTCCATGGATATCCGCGTCGCTGCCATCGATGCCTTCCGCCGTATGGACTGCTCTGAGGGAGTAAGTTTTGATTTGAAAGTTATATTTCATTCTACAATTGACATTATTCTAAAGATATGTTGATATAATAGTTGACAAAACTGCTAATTGCATCCAGGTAATTGTTTTTCATTTAATTTTGTAGCGAACTGAGCTGATGAACCTTTTCAAGAATACAGAAGAAGATTCTGAGCTTAGAATTGGCGCCTACTTGGCTGTTATCCAATGCCCAACTGTTGACATCATTGAAGAGGTGAAGACTGTCTTGGAGAGTGAAGAGATTAACCAAGTTGGTTCCTTCGTATGGACCCACCTCACCAACCTCATGGAGACGTCCGATCCACAAAAGCAAAACATCAGAGCAATCCTTGAAGATGCTACCCTAAAGAAGGAATTTGATATGGACAAGAGAAAGTTCTCCCGTAACATCGAGTTGTCTTTCTTCTCTGAAATGCTCAACACTGGTGCCAAGGCCGATAGCAACCTCATCTGGTCTACCAAGTCATGGATCCCCCGCTCAGCTATGCTCAACATGACCGTTGATCTTTTTGGAACCCAAATGAACCTTCTCGAGATCGGAGGACGTGTCGAGGGTATGGACTACCTCCTTGAGTCTCTCTTCGGAAACAACGGCTACTTCCCCGAAATGGCTGACAATATCCGCAGTAAGAGATCTGCCAGAGATGGTATGCTCAACAGATTCAAGCAATCGGTAAGAATAAGTTCCACTGAAAAACTAAATTCCAGTTTATAATTGTTTTAATGTATGATTACCAAGTAATTATTCAAGTAACTAACCGATTCATGGTCATTTTCTATTGGAAATTCATTGAATCCTATCACTGCATTTAATGTTTTAATTAAGCATGTTTGCTTTTTGTTATAGTTCCAACTTGAAGACGCCAGCGAGCCAAAAGCTTCCATGTTCATGAGAATCTTCGGTAACGAAATGGCCTTCATGGATATGACCAACTACAAGGGTGCCATGGGAGACTTCAACTTCTTGGATATTCTCATCAAACTTGCAGAGAACCACAAAGTAGACTTCACAAAGTCTGTCGTATTCATGGATGTCCACTACAAAATCCCAACCATCATTGGTAAGCCAGACAAGAACTTCAAAATTATAATTTGAGTAGCCCTAAAAATATCAGAGATTAGAAGAGACGATGCTTATGTAAATGAAACTAGAAAATATTATGTTTGTCTCTTATTTTGAAAGAGTTAGAAAGCTTCAATTCATTTTTATCACATTCTGTAGGTATGCCCCTCGGTCTTGATATCAACGGTACCGCAACAGTTGATATGAAAATTGGAGGAAAGATGGATCTTCGCCAACTTGGATCCTCACCACGCAGTGTTGATATCGACGGTTACATGCAGCCAAGGTATGCATTGAGCTTTTGACATTGACTTTCACTCCAAGGTGTTAAATTTGAAGTGCCACATCTTTGTGATCGAAGCACTAGAATATCAACGTGACAACAAGCTCTTAAACGTTTCGAGAATTGTTCTTAAAGTGGTCATAATTACATATATTTCAATGTATTTTCTAGCACTGCTGTAGAAATCTCAAGTGCAATGTACATGGACTGTGGCGTTGCCAAGACCGGTGTTGCATCAGTGTCCACCATGCACTCCAGCGCTGATGTCGAAGGAACAATCTCCCTAAAGAACGGAGAGGTCTTTGTCACCAAGTTCAACATGCCCAAGGACAAAATTGATATTCTATCAGTGGAGTAAGTATAGAGTATCCTTAATGTGTATGTTTAAGATGTGAATGTGAGTGTTGTAAATCCGTAGACTTATTACTAAATTATAATACCACACAATCAGTTGGATGTTTTGAGGTTACTAAATAGTAATAAGCACATTCGTATTTGATATTTGATATATGGATATTCAAATAAAGTAGAAGGGTCCAATTTGTACGAGCATCTTGTGGTGGTTATACTCTGTGAAACCAAATCATGGCTGTTTCTCAGATAATACATTTATCTTCTGTTATTTATTTGCCTATTTATATTACAGCAACAAATTTTTCGTATTCCGAAAATCCATTCCCGTTGAACAAAAGATGGCCGAGCAGAAAGTAGAGGCCAGCAAATGTACCGGAGACATGATTGCTAAAGTCACTGGCTTGGAACTCTGTGGGGCCCTCAGCTACACATCCACTGCCCCCATTACTGGCCCATCCAGCGTGAAGGTCTCACTCAACAAGCGTGATACCCACACCGGCTACGAATTCACAACAACTTTCATGGCAAAGAAGGTATACTATAACATCTGAGATTGATAAACTTTTTATTTAAACGTTTCTTCTTGTGTAATAAATACATGAAGTGGACTAACTGATCAGCCAATAGCATGAAATTGAATATAGTGTTTAAATCAGATTTAGGCACATCGGGTCTGAATATGAGAATTTTGTTATTTCAAAGGAGAGCAAGGCCGGAAAGAGAGCTGTTACCAACATTGCTAGCGTAGCATTTAACACCCCAGGATCAAAGGTTGACCGTGAAATGTCTGTTAACTTCCAACTCAACCGTGGCGAGAAAACCATCAATCTAGACATGACATCACCATGGAAGAAGGTGTCTGCCAAGGGTAAGTCAATTCTTTATCATATAATGAGATTCAAAGGACCAATCCAATATAAACAATGTGGCTGAAACACCCAAAACGTTAAACATTCTAATAAATACTAAATGATGAAGGCTATTTACAAGAAAAATACTTGCAAAAAAAGTTTGAATCATTCACTATATACGTACATTTGTACTGTGTTAGGCGGCTAATTGTTGACGCATCTGTTTATCATTATCTTTTGCAGGATCAATCGACGTTGCAAAAATCTTGAAGAAGGCTTCCACAAGCATTGTCATTGACAACAAACAAGAATATTCTGCTGTTGCTCAAATCAAGGTTTTCAAGAAGGGATTCCTTACCACGTGAGTTAATCGGGTTCCATATACATTAAAGGCCCCATGTACATTTTTGCTTATTTTAAAACTTTGCATTAGCTAAAATTACTATACGTTTTCCTATTTGCTTAGATTTTATATAAATTAGACAACAGGAAAAATACAAGAAACCAACATGAAAAATACATTTAAACATTCAATCATTGAATTAAAACATCTTAGGCGATGAATTCAGAAATACACAACACAATCTAACAATATAATATAAATATTCGAGCCTTCAAACACAATCTAACAATATAATATAAATATTTGCATCTGATCACGCTTACCCCATGCTAGTCAAAATGCATTAAAACTTTGAGAAATCCAGAAGACTAAGATTGGCGTTATTTCTAGGTACGCTCCAAGCGTCGTTGTGAACATCCACAAAATGAAGCCAATCACTCTGAAGGGAACACTCCAGAACAAGAACTTCAAGAAGATGACCGCAGACCTTGCCCTCAACAACCTTTTCAAGACCCCAGTCACATTCAAGGGTAAGATACATTCTCCTCATTGCCCTCAACAACCTTTTCAAGACCCCAGTCACATTCAAGGGTAAGATACATACTCCTCATTGCCCTCAACAACCTTTTCAAGACCCCAGTCACATTCAAGGGTTAGATACATTCTCCTTATTGCCCTCAACAACCTTTTCAAGACCCAAGTCACATTCAAGGGTAAGATACATTCTCCTCATTGCCCCCAACAACCTTTTCAAGACCCCAGTCACATTAAAGGGTAAGATACATTCTCCTCATTGCCCCCAACAACCTTTTCAAGACCCAAGTCACATTCAAGGGTAAGATACATCCATTCTCCTCATTGCCCCCAACAACCTTTTCAAGACCCAAGTCACATTCAAGGGTAAGATACATCCATTCTCCTCATTGCCCTCAACAACCTTTTCAAGGCCCCAGTCACATTCAAGGGTAAGATACATTCTCCTCATTGCCCTCAAATAATGTACGATGTGTCAGAAACTACTTTTAATGTTCTCTGTTTTTTGCTTGTTATGATTGGACTTTTTTTTAAATACCATTACATTTAAAACAATTCATTGTTGTAGCTGTATAATGGAGTTGCTTCCTATTGTAACACAGAATGCCACTTGAATGGAGGTCTTTACAATGTTTCACTTTGTTGTTATTGTTAAAGATCATATTGTTACATTTGAACGAGTTGTGATATCATCTTGTATTAGTGGGTACTATTCAAGTTTAATGTTTCGTGTGCTGTATCAATGTATTTTGTAAACCCTTAAATATTCTCTTCCAATAGGTGATATGACCAGGCTGATCAGTGGAGCCAAGGCAAGCTACAAATCAAACATTGCCCTCAGGTCCTCCTTCCTTGATGCTACCCTTAAGGGAACCGCTGATAAGAAGAAGACCAACTACAAGAGCAACGTCCAGGTGCAATACCAATTCAACAACCAAAAGGCACAGAAGATATCATTCAGTGGAAAGTTCCTCAACAAGAGTCTGAAGAACCTCGCAAGATACATCATCAACAAGTAAGGCGTTTTACTCGTCAACAAATCTGATTTTTTTAGCCTCTTACCAAACGGTATTTATTTTTCTAAAGTGTGTTATCTTGACCTTGTATGCCAGTAAGTTACAGTGTTATTCACCATTTAGTTCTGGTTAGCTTTTGGACGTATCATATGAAGGATTGCATATTTTGGGCTTTAAATATGACAACTTCAGAATCATAGTTTAATCAATTATATGATATCACATTCTTATTATTTAAACTATGAATTAAACTGTAACTTCTGTCGGTACCAATTATTTACCACAATGTGCGTAACCATGTTAATTTCGAAATATTTCCATTTCTTGTAGCAATTTCCAATCCACACAGTTCCCAGAAGCCAACTACATCCTGTCAATGAATGTACTGAAGAAGGCAACACGTCTTGAGAACACAGTTGACTTGAGATTCGGAAAAGCCATCAAATCCCCCAAAAACAAATTGGTTTTCTCCCAGGTTTTGTCAAATACCTTGAAGGGAAAAGTGAGGAAAATCGACCATACAATGAAGTTCATGTTTCCCTGCAAGGTACAACATTATATCAATTAAAACTTTTTTCCATAAACGATAACGATTTTATTTACAATTGGATGTATCAGATCTACAAAGTTAATCATAGTTCATAACTGCATATGTAAGTAAACTACTTCAATTGTTACTTCTATCTCAATTCAATTTTCAATTCAATTCAATTCACTTTATTTCAAATGTTTCAAATACAGTATTTTACATTGACATGAAAAGACACCCCGAGGGGTGTATAAGTTCCACGTTTATCTCTGTTACATCTGGTAAAAATCATTTCATACTTGTTTCATTTTAGGATATCAAGATGAACACTAAAGTATCTGTCACCAAGGATCCACGCAACCTCAATACACTTGCAAGCATTGAATACAAGCCAAAGAAGATGATCACATTGACAGCAGACTTGAAGAACGAGAGCAAGAAACTGAGGAAATACAGTGGAGACATCAGCTTGACCACCCCAAGACGTGAAATGAGATTAACCGAATCCTTGGAAGAACAGGCTCCAATGAAATTCAACAACGAGATGCTCGTCCAATGGCAAAAGGGTAGCCAGGGCAAGATGGTCACATCATTCGCTAAAGTTGGCAAGAGGGAACATACACTGGAATCTACTCTCCAGATCCCCAACTTTGACACCATCTCCTTCTCAGGAAGAACAAAGCTATTTGCCGATGACTTCAACACCAATGCTGAGCTGACTTACGAAGGCAAGAAATACTCTACTGATGTCAACTACAAATATGAAGGACAAGGAAAGCAATGGTCTGGCGAGGGACACTTCGAGGCTGCCCATCCATCCCGCCGTGTTACAACTGACGGTTCCTTCAGGTACATTGGTGGCAAAACCATGCAGAGTCAGATTGAAGCCAAATGGGATGCTGATCGTGATGAGAACAAGAAGGCTGGTTATGAAGCAGACTACAAAATCATTGGAACTAAACATGAGGGTTCAATGAAGGTATTCTATCCCCGACGTGAAATCAACGCAGCCATGAATGTTGAAAAGAAGGGAGAAAAGTACACGTCTCATGCCGAGGCCAGCTGGGAAGCCGGAAAGAAGATGCAACTGGACACAGAGATGACCTTTTCTAACAGAGGATCAAGAAACTTCCAAGGAAGCACACGATTCACCAGTCCATTCGAGAAGTTCGAGAACATCTTCCTATCTGCCACACATCAAGATAACGGCCAGCAATACAACAGCAATGCTGAGTTCTCATGGGCTCCAAGAAGCAAAGTCCAAGGAACATTGACAGGAAAATTCAACAGTCTGATGGATTTGGATGGAACAGTGTCTTTGTTTACCCCACTCTCACGTTCACCAATTGTTCTCCGACAGAAACATGCCATTAACAATAAACAAGTCACATCTCACACCGAGTTTGAGTACAGCAACAAGAAGACTGTCATGGATATGTCTGGAAAGGATGATTCCAACAGATGGAAGAGTGACATCGAAGGTACGTTCTCTCTTACTACACCATGCAGATATTTCAATACTGTTGCCATGAAATTCGACCACACAATGACCAAGAAGATGATCAGGCTCTCAGGAGAAGTGTCCAAGGATGACAAAGTTATCGGCGCCACCATCAAGGGTGTTGCAGATGTATCTTCCAATGCCAGAGATGTCGAGGGGACCTTTGAACTCAAGACACCATTCCCCAAAGTTGAAAACATCCTCCTCAGTGCATCTCACAAGGATGACAGCAGAAAGTACAACACTGACATGAAAGTAAGATGGGCTCCTAGACAGGAAATTGCTGCCAGCATGGAAATGACCAGTGGGATGAGAGGTTACAGTATCAGAAGCAATGGTAAACTAGAGGTAACTACACCATTTACTCCATATGAATCTACCACGCTCAACTGGAACCACGACAATACCGAGACCACAATAAAACACAACTCAGATCTTACATGGGCTCGTAGAAACAGGGTTGTCCTTGGTGTTGATGGCTCTATTGAAACCGGGCCTGAGACCAAGGTTAATGGAATGATCAGACTTCAGACTCCAATCAGGAGCTTCTCCGACGTGTCAATGAAGGTCTCCCACAGCCACGATGCTGACAACTTGAAATCCGAACTGACAGGTACCTACCCATACAACAAGAATGTCAAACTTACCGTTGACTTGAGCAAGGCCAGTGACGTCCAAGGTGCTATTACATTCACAAGCCCCTACACCAACATGGAGAACCTTGCAGCTAGCTTCATTCATAAGACATCTCGCAGACCATACACCACCCATGCCGAGGTGTCCTGGACACCAAAAGACAAGATTGCTTTCGACGGAAGTGTCAACTACTATGGTCTCCGATACCTGACTGGTGATGCCCGCCTTACAACCCCATTCACTGGTTATGAATCAATGAGTGCATCTATCAATCACAGCAAGAGAGATCAATGGAGCACAATTGTTGAAGTAGAATATCTACCAAGACAGAAGGTTTCGTTTGAGGGAAAACTCAACACAGACACACCCAAGGGAAGTATAACCATCAGAACCCCAGAGAGAACCCTAAGGAGCTTGACTGCCAGTTTCGAGCACTCTGGAAACTTCCCATACGTCAACACCAAGAGCAACGTGAAACTTGTAGGCACCTACCCAGCCAGTATGGACTCTTTCATCCGTGTTAGTGGAATAGATTCAGTCAATGCCAACATCCAACTTAACCTTCCAAAGATGGATAAGATATCTGTCGATATCGTGCACCGTCAGCAGGGCAGCAAATACACAACGGAAGCAAGCGCCAGTGCAGCAAGAACAGAAGCCAAACTTACCAGCACATTGAATATCCAAAGCATAAACAATATTGATGGGGCCATTGTGGGTACCTTTGATGAAAATGAAGTCGAAATTAACTTCAACCATAATGGTTACTTGAAAAACTTCAGAAACCATCTTGATATCGCCCATGATAACAAAAAAGTGAACTTGGATGGACAATTCTCTCTCAGAGAAATGACAGGAGAATTTAAAGTCCAGAGCAACATCCCCAAGATTAGGTTCGCTAGCGTCAAATTCAACCATGATGGTGACTACAGTAATTTCAAGCATCACGCAGAATTTTCTTTCAACAACAGAAAATCCGAATATGATGGATCATTTACCTCCAGCCCAAATGTTGAGGGTAAATTCACACTGAAGGCCAACAGAGACATAACAACCTTGACTTTCGATCATCAAGGTGGTCTGACACGATTCACCAATAATGCTAAGCTGACATCAACTGGTGCCCAAGACATTGAATATACTGGTTTCTTTGCAAATACAAACAGAGTTGTCGGTAAATTCACCTTCACAAAAGGTCCAAAGTCCCTCAATGTTAATTTCAATCACAATGGCGACCTTAGAAAATTCAAATCCTCTGCCAAAATTCTTGGAAATGGTAAAGCAGTCGAGGCTGATATTGAGTTTGATACCGCACCAATGAAAGGCCAAGCCACATTCAACACCCCATGGACCCGCCCAGCTGCAGCTGCATTCAATTACAATGGTGAGCCAATGAACTTCAACTCACATGCTGAAGTAAGCTACGGACTAAAGAAAATCGAAGGTGACGTAACATTCAGTAAACAATTCGGAAGCTTTGTACTGAAGACTCCATTTACAACCCTGAGTGAAGTTAAATCTTCTTACACTATTGAGGGATCACTGCCAAAATTCCAGTTCATTGCCCATGAGGAATTCTCATACAATGGTGGAAACACCATTGCAATGAACAGTGAAGTGAGCTGGATGAAGAAAATCTCTACTGATCTTACTACACCATTTGCTGCCATCAGAACTCTTAATGCTGAGGTGACAAAGAAGGGTGACAAGGTACATGCTGAACTAACACACAACCGACGAAACAAATTCCAGACCGACCTTAACTTGGATTTAGAATCCTTCAAGAAAGCTGACCTGACCATCGAGACTCCTTTCCAAGCCCTTGAAAGTCTTAATGTTGCCTACAACCATGAGGGTGGTCTTAGGAACTTCCAAAGCCACGCTGAGTTGACACATAACAAACGTAGCAAGTTTGAGATTGATGCCACATCCCGTCTCACTTCCGCTGATGTCACAATCAAAACTCCATTTGATGCTATGAGGACATTGAACATGGCTTATTCTCATATTGGAGGACTATGGAACTTCAACTCACATGCTGAACTTACTCACAACCAGAGAAACAAGTTCACCATTGATGCCTCTAATAACAATTTCGAAACCACCGAGTTTGCTTTTACTACACCATTCAGAACCCTGAGTGATGCTAAACTTACCTTAAAGCAAGAAGGCACATTAGACGACTACAGCTCCAACACTGAATTCACATACAACAGGGTTAACAACATCAAAGCGGACATTGTCTTTGCAAGCACCAAGAATATCAAGGGATCCATGATGATGACAACCACATTCCCATCTCTGAGAGACCTCAAAGTTGCATTCAACCACGCCGGACGTTGGAACAACTTCAAGAGTGATGGAGAAATCACATGGAACAGACGCCAAACCATTGCTGGTGATCTTGAATTTGCATTCTCACGTAACATTAAACTAAAGGCCGGACTAGCCACTCCATATACCAAAGACCTCAAAGTTGAATTTACAAAGAAGGGTGACAACAGCGACTTTGTCCAGCACTTGGAAATTGCCTACCCAGATATGATCTTCCAGCAGGATACTGAATTCCAGTTGAGTCCTCTCTCTATCAAATTCAAACAAGTACAGCCTAACTTCAACTTTGACGGACAGTTCAGCCACACAGGTGACTACAGACGATTCCAGACACACGCTGAAGGAAAGCTTAACAGCTTCCAACCAGTTGTAGCTGATCTCTCTTTCAACATGGTCGGTAAAATCGAAGGAGCCTTGAAAGTGCAGAATCAATGGGTACCAGTTGACATTTCTTTCAACCATATTGGTAGCATTGATAACTTCAAATGCTCCGGAGAAGCAATTGTGAACAACAAAAAATATGATGGTCAATTAGAGCTCAGCAACGACAGAGTCACAGAAGGCAAACTTACCATCAATACTCCACATAGGAAACTTTACAATGTCGAAGCTGCCTTTAATGCTAAGGGTAACCTGAAGAACATGAGAGGTCATGCCGAATTGAGCTACAATGGTGGAAACAAAATGGAAGCTGATGCATCATTCAAGAACTACAGGAACATGCAAGGCGAGGCCTCAATCAAGACCCCATTCAGACAAGTGCGTGAAGCATCTGCAAGTTTTAACCACGAAGGTGATATGTTCAACTTCAAATCTGGAGCTGAGGTTACATACAACAGACGCAACAAGATCAATGCTGACGTTGACTTCACTACCGATAGAGCAATCAGAGGAAATGCTGTCGTGACCACACCTTTCACCAATTTCGAACGTACTGCAGTTTCCTTCAACAGTGAAGCCAAGAAGACTCATGGTGAGGTATTTGCCTACAACAAGAAAATCGAGGGAGATGTTGAGCACACTGGATACAACAATGTCAAAGTTGAAATCAAAACTCCATTTGCTGATTACGAAAATATGCAAGCTGCCTACCTTCTTGAAAAGGAACCAACAATGTTCAATGTGCATGCCGAGGTAAGCAAGAACAACAAGAAAATTGAAGCTGATGTTAACACAGACAGAGCAAGGGGATTCAGTGGCAAGGCAACAATCAAAACCCCATTCCGTGGGTATGAAGAGATGTCTGCTGCACTTGACCACACTGGTGGCCTCAGGCGTTTCCGAAACACCGCTACTGTTCAGCTTTCACCCCGTGTCAAATACACCACATTTGCCGACTTCACTCTGAACAGGAACATCTTTAACTTCGTCACAAAAATGTCAAGCCCACTTAACAAATTTGATGCCAATGTGAAACTCGAAGGTGATGCCCATGACTTCAAGAGCAACGGCATGGTCAACTACAATGGGGAAGTCACATCTCTGGAGTGTTCCTACAAAGATATCTACGGTGTACCCAGTGAGGGAAGCATCAAATTCTCCTGCCCATATGTTGAAGATATGTCCATGATGTTCACAAATGCCAAGCGTGGTGACAAATACAACATGCACTCAGAGCTCTCGTGGAACCCACGTAGCCAGATCGCTGTTGATGGTGAGATGAAGTACAATGGACTTAACGATATGGATGCCTCTGTTAAAGTGATGACACCTTTCAGAGCTGCCCGTCAATTCGGATTTGATCTTGACCACAAAAACAGTGGATACAACTTCAACACCAGACTGAGCACCGAGTTCAACAACGAGAAATGTTTCTCTGGCGCAGCAGGATACCGAAAGGTTGGAGATAACAACATTGCTGAGCTGACAACTGAGGTACCCCGCGCAATGTCCTACAAAGGAAGCTACATGAATACTGATACTACTACCAGCATTTCCGGAGAGGCCAACTTGAACAGCAAAGTCCGTGGAAACAACTACAAAGGAAGTTTCGTCTCTAATAAAGAAGACAGCAGGCGTGTACTCAAGAGCTCAATGGAGGCCAGAACTGAAACTCCATACAGAGTAATGTCCTTCAAGACTGAAATGAACAAATCTCCATACAACTTGAAACACTCTGCTGAGATGAGCTGGGACGAGGCCAGAAACAAGAAGGTATCATACGATATTGACTTCAAAGACAGATCTCGCCGCAGCAGCAGGAACTACGATCTGACTGCACAGCTTGCTACTCCAATCAGGACCATGCAAATTCAGGGAAAACACAACGATAATGGCGCCACTTTCAATAGCAACGCCGACCTCATGTGGGACATGACCAGAGACCCATCCAAAAAACTCTCCGTGAGAGGAACAGTAGAGACAGCCCCTGATACATTCAAGGCTGAAGCAGGAATCAATACCCCATCACTTCCAAAGGTAATTATAACCCATTTTCATGTCTAAACATTAGGGCTAGATGTATATATCGTATAGATCATAACAAGAACGTATAAGGAAAAGACATTTAAGCATAAACGATCAAGTTTATTCCATATTCGATTATGCTCTTTGATGGATGGATGAAATATTTGATTTTTGTATTTTTGTTGGAATGCTATACATAGATTTGATGTCACAAGACAATATAAAGGAAAATGTGTGACTTGAATTAATACAATACAACAGAGTATAATATATGAATCATTAATAAGAAATTTAATTGAATTGTAGGAAATCACTCTCAACATTGATAACGTGATGAACCAGAGGAGGAACATACTGTCCCACAAGACTGTGTTATCCTACAGCAGGAACCCAAGCGAGGATTGGACCGTTACTGGACTCGTGAAAGTCACAGAACCCACCAACTACACCGCTGACTTTGGACTCACTCACCCAAGAAGCAACTTGGATATTGCCCTTGGAGGACATATTGCCAGCAACAGATTGTCAAAGTCTATTGGCGCCAACATGAACTACTTGGATTCAAGAAGACAGATGCAGAGAGTTTGGGGACTTGGATACCTCAATGACAACAACATGCGTATTGAGGTAATAAAGTTGAACCTTCAACAAATAACCTTGTCAAATATATGTGATTAAAAGCTAAAATGCATGTGCTTAATTTTAGAATATGGAAGTTTTATTTTGTATTGTTTTGAATATTTTAGTTCTACGCCCCTAAAGTACCCAAGCAAATGATCATGGCCGCAAAGACTGATGATGGCTTTAAAGTAAGCCACGGGTTCTCTAATGGCAAAACACGCAACGCTGAGTTCACTATGGATCCCGAGGCCAAGGCATTCGACCTTAAAGTGAATTACGGAACAGGTACGAAGAGTATATCATTTCCAATAATCAGTCCTGGCGTAATATATTTATATCCTACCTGCTTTATAATAACTAATAATGTAATTAAACATATGAAAACATGCAGCCACTGGCGTACATGTACATACACGATACGTTCTGTTTAACAGAATACCCAAGAGATCTATTCCACATGTACGGCAAGTACGTCAATGACAAACATGTCATGGTTGAGGCCTACCGTATGGACAACAACCGTAAAATCACAGAAGGAAGTGTCTCATTGAGAATGAACAACTCCCGTCTTGCTCATGGACGTCTCTACTGGAGACCATCTATGTACTGGGATATCAAGGTGATTGTTTTGTCTTTTAGATGCTAAATCATATTTACAATGACACAAAGATTACCGTGTCTCCATAATAAAGTTTAATGATACAAACAAGTATTAATCAAACTGTTTTAAACCTCTCTTAATTCAAATACTACACCACGATTAGATTGATACGATGACAATGATTCAGTTCAGTGGAAAATATAATCATATTTTATATTATTTGTATAATAATAATAGGTATAAAATAAGCTTCGATAATGTTAATTCCTTTACCAGGAGAGCCTCCCAACCCAGATTAACCAGCTTCGCGCTCAGATCGCCCGACAATGGGAGGAAGTCCAAGCTGATGTGTCCAACGAAATCCGATCCAAAACACGCCATGTCACCTACACCTTGCCCGATATGTCACCAGTATCTGACTACATCAGCAATGAAATCAACCAGTTCAACAGTGATGCTGATACCGCCACAGATGCCGCTAAAATGATGTTCAGACGCAATGAGTTCTACTCCAGAGACGCTGTTGACGGTGGTTTCGCCGCAGTTGCATACACCAAGTAAGAATCACTAACGTCATGTATTTTAACAAAATGATGCTTACATAATGATTTTACCTTTGTGCCGTCTTTTTCATATCTTGTCTCATTATTATATTATTCAAGAATTTAAATAGTAACACAAAGCTACATCATGATTCCTAATTGATTGAAAATGATTTTTAGGGATATGGCACGTGACTTCTCTGCCAAGATGGATGAGGTCAAACGAACCGCCCAGGCTAAGATGGACCAATACAGATACATGGCTGAGAGAATGTATGAAGACTATGCCAGACGTGCTGCCTACCAATACAAACTTGCCAAGTACAACCTCAACCGGAAGTACAATGTAAGACACAATCACGCTCAGAATTAATTATCAGGCATATCACAATGTAATGAGAGCTATGAAACAAACAGTTAAATCGTAACTTGTTAAACTTGATCAATATTCTTTAATCATTAAAAGGATTATGTATATAATCAATTTGTAATTTTCTAGGAGTATGCACCAATTGCTCAAAGATACATCGATCAAGGATACGAGATGATTGCCCCATACTACCAAACCGTCCAGACAAGAGCACAGAGACACAGACGCGATCTTTCAGGTAAAGGGACTCCCATATCAATCACATTACTCATCAATAATAAGAAATATTCACAATAATATAATTATTTGCACTTTCATTAATTAATAAAAGCAGTTAACAAAATGTTAAAACTGTCATTGGTTATTTCGCATTCTGCACTGAAGTAAATGAATTTTATCTGCTTGTAGATCTGATGTACTCCATCACATCTCACCCACAGTACAAAACCAGTTTGGAGAAGATCAGCGACTTTGCCAGTCAGGCCATGAGCCACATGCAAAACATGAAGACCAAGGCCATTGACTTGAAAGAAGCTGCCAAGAAACACGTCAAGCTTACCAAGGCAAAAATGAACAACATGTACAATGATGCTCTTGAAACCGTCAACCAGAAGCTCGACGCTGCCATGGGTCACGATGCTGTTGTCTACACCAAGAAGGTTGCTCTCAATGCCCTTGACATGGTGAGAACCGATTGCATTTAATTAACATTCCACATTGATCATTAGATGAAGCAATTTGATTGATTATATAGACATAAAGGTTATTTAAAAGGTAGATTATATGAGTTGATGGGGAAGACTATAAGACGCACTTTCTATTTATTGAGACCATTGCTTGGGGTTCGTTTTCTTAAGACCAGTGGTACCTTTGAACTTTCATACTTACATGTATTTCCTTACATTTTGGTCACCCGTATGACACCTATGCATTCCAATATTTTCAGGCCAAAGATGCTGCTGACTTCATCAATGTGAAGAAGAACTTCCACAAGATTGCCAGAGATATCTACAGGAATAGCAAGGTTGTTGCCACCAAGCACGCAGCCTTTTTAACCGGAGTCTACAAGAACTTGAACAAAAACAAAGTCACCGTATTCAACCCCAAACAAGGAGAGATCCAGGCACAGGTAAGACTGATACTAATATCGATCAATAAGCAAAACGGATCTGCTAATGATGATTGTTGAATTCGTGTGTATAAATCCATCGTCTGATATTTATGAGATTAAAGGCAAACTGATGCGTCCAGACATTGAGGAAATACTTTTCCCGTTTTTACCGAGGACGTTAACAATTCATTCCTCAATATTACGTTAAGTCAGTTTTTCAGAATGTGGACACGATTTCAAGGCTGAGCTATATTCATTTAATTTGATTACGTTGTAGGCTTACATGCCATTCGCTGTCAAGGACTTGAAAACCCTTCCAAACATCGACACAACCAATCTCCAGAAGCTGATGAACCTTTCCTTGAGCAGCCTTCCATCTCTGCCCAAGTACAACCCAATGGATGATTACTACCACTACAAACCAGCATCTTCCAATCCTCTGGACTGGATCCCACCATTCAAAGGTAAACAGTCATATCTTGGACGTGTAAATGATAAACGCTAAAACACAGTCAAGCATAATACAGGTTTACAAACACTCCTCAGATGATTATCAATTCCTTTGCTGTATATTTTTAGCCTCTGCATTCGTTGTTGGAGCTCAACATATCAAGACCTTCGATGGAACTTATTACGAGTTTGCCAGCCCATGCAGCTACGTTCTTACCCAGGACTTTAGCAATGATAACTTCACCGTTGTCGGAAACTTCGAGGGTGACACCAAACACATCAGCAAGAAGTCTCTCATGATCATCTCCAACAACAAGAAAATCGAAATCTTCTCTGACTTCAAGGTATGTAAGATTTGCTTCCTTCTCAATACACACGTTGACATCGTAATTTACATTTTGAACGCTTATTTAAACAGCTTTATATGATTTTAATAAACAAGTTGATATTTGAAATTTAAACATTAGTTTTGAATTTTACTTCTAGGTTCTTGTTGATGGCAAGAAGGTTGAGCTTCCAGTCGAGTTCTTGAACACATCAGTCACCATCGACGGAGAGAGAATGATTGTGAAGAACAAATTGGGTCTTACCACTGAATGGGACAAGGCTAATGATATCTGGAGTGTAGAAATCTCTGGATGGTATTTCGGCAAGGTCGCTGGACTTTTCGGAACTTACGACAATGAGCAAAGCAATGATTTCACAACCTCAAGGAACACCGTTGAGGAGCTCGAGAGATTCACCACCAGCTGGGAAGCATCTGGAGCATGCAGAGTTAGAGGAAATCAGGCTAGAGAAGTTGAGCCACAAACACACCGCCATAGCTTCAAAACCTGTGCCCGTCTGTTCAAAGAAGAGGTGTCATTCTTCAGGCCATGCTACAAACAGGTACAGCTCACCTATGCAATCGTTTTTATAGTTGCTAGAATTTTATTGAAAAGTATTGACATATAATATTGTTGTTGCATCACGTACAACGATATTTTCACTCATTACATTTTACAGGTCTCCCCTAAGAAATACTTCAAGATGTGCGTAAATGACGTCGAGGGATTCGAAAGAAACGCTTGCAAGATGGCTGCTGCGTACATCAAAGAATGTGCCGCTGCTGGAGTACCTGATATGAAAATGCCCAAAGGTTGCTGTAAGTGAACTTGCCATTTTATTCAAGATTGATTTCATGTACTTTCATGGTAAACATGTTGAAAAAATTCTAGTCAATAGTTTGATTTAATAAATATTGATAATGAAGTAGATCATCCTATATCTGTAAAACCATTTTAATCTTAAACTCTAATTAGCAGAAAGAAAAGTGACATGACAAATACAAAGGTTAATAATGTTTATGACATGTATGATGCCAAATGGTTAACACCACCAGACACGAGATGCCACATACAATTCATAGGCTTGTTATGTCAGCAAGAAACTGATCTACATTCAATTGTTCTTATCATGTTATAACATCATAAACGAATGCACAATTTCTGTTCTGTAGCTGACTGCAACAGCGAGGGCAAGAGACTGAGTGACATCCCACAGTCCGCTGATGTTGTCCTAGTTGTTGAGGAGAGACAATGCAACAAGGACCTTACAGGCAAACTTGGAGCTCTCGTCGAGAGAATTGAAGAACAACTACGTGAACTCGGTAAGCAAACAACATGTTTTATTATATATAAAAGTGCCATATGATGACTATAAATATATCGTATCATTACCAACGAAGTAAATGAATTAGCTCTAGGATAATCCAATACATTATAAACTTCAAATAGAATTTTAAGTATTTGTTAAAAAGTCTCAAACAGCCTGCGATACAATCAACTCATTTCCATACTTTATATTCAAGGTCTATCCAACAACCGTTTCGGTATCGTTGGATTCGGAGGTGAGGGAGTCCACAACAAACCCCATACTCACACCGTAGGTGGAGAAATCATGGGAGATTCTCGTAGATTCTCTTTTGGAGCAGCCAATCTCGACTTCGAAGAAGATGGTGAATTCAAAGACACTCTTGGTGCTATTGAAAAAGCTGCCCACTATCCATTCAGACAGGGTGTCTCAAAGAGCATTGTCTTGGTAACATGCACTGAATGTACTCAACAGGAAACCCAATATACTGATATCCTAAATATGCTCACAACAAGGGACATTACACTTCATATGCTCGCTGATAGCAAATTCGAGTCCAACAGTGAATCTAAGAAGCCTTCAGTTTTCGTATTTGGTAGGTTTCTCATTCATTATTTGAATAAACAATGACCTGAATTAAAATCACAATTAAATATGATTTATTTAAATGTAAAAACAAGGGAAATAATGTCTGTACAGAAATCGTTTGGAACATTTATTACATTCCTTGTATTTTACAATTAAAATTATCTAGATTGTTTTGATATAACGTATGTTCATTCTTTACTTTCAGGAGTTGACAGCAAATCAGCTTACAGCCGCAAATCCCTTATTGGTAAGAAACTGAGAGGCGACAAGGAACTCTTTAGCCAACTCACCGTTCCCCAGCACATCTGTGGTGATCTTACTACTCAAACCGAAGGTTCCCTATTTGATCTGAATAGACTCACAGCAGGAAATGTCCAAGCTCAAAAATCATTCTCTGAAGCTTTTGCCAAGAGAGTATCTATGTCTGCCATCCCATCCGGGTGCCAAGAGTGCAGCTGTGTCGAAGGTGAAACCGTATGCAAGACATGCACAGCTGAGGTAAAAACAGTTTGTTTATTTGTTTGTTTGTTTGTTTTGTTGTTTGTTTGTCATTATGAGAGGATGATTTTACATATATAGTAATACTTCAAACAATATATCGTACTACACTAATTTGCTTTGAATAATAATTTGAATATTACTAGAAAATGGAAATCCAAATATCAACCCGTTGAATGATAACAAACATAACGCTGATTAAACCATATTATACCACAAGGCAAAAAGTAAAAGTGGACACTATGTTTTTTTATTTTAATTATTTGATTGTTTCAGTCTTCAACCCTAGGCAAAAGAGAAGAGAACCCATATGCTGATGAATTCGAGCCAGCTATGGCCTCCGAGGAGGATGAGTTCAAAAATGAGCTTAAGGTAAGCCTTGTACAAACAAAAATTAATTTATATTAAAAAGTTCTATATCACTATTTCTTTGTTTCACTGATATCAAAAATCAAATACAATTCTTAAATGGTCAGAATATATTGAATAATGGAAAGTAATGAATCTAGTAACGGTATAAAAAGTTATCCCGGGCTATAACTTTTTGCGATTTTCTTTATTCTTATTCTGTTTTGTCATTCATTCATGACATGTCATGTGGACGATGAAAGCCCTAGAAATTACAAATTGAGAGAGTTTATTTCCGTTATATATCTGGAGTGCATCATGTAGTGTATATGCATATAAAACACCTACAAATTATGAATTGTTTTATGTCATTTCAGGAATACATGAGACGACCCATGAAAATGAAGAACATGAGGAAACAGTACAGAAATGCTAAGAGAGCATAAGAACATTGACAATTCTCAATTTACACAACAACAAATGGGTACCGACCGACCGCATTCGAACAATGGACATTCTTAGGGGTTGATCCCCAGCAACTACAATGCAATTCTAAATCGTTTTAAAACAATTAGGGTATATACAAATGAGGGAGATGTATTTATATTTATTGAAACATTTTGGAGTATATTTGTACATTGTTTATATTGATTTTTAAGATTATCTAATAACATTGCAAGAAAAACTATGATGTTATGTTATTTTTCTAAGACCAGATGACTTAGTCACATCAGTGTGTTACTTTACTTGGAAAATATGTAATGGGAATGGGAAGGCGCCAGTATGTACTGTAGACACCCCTGCTCTTTTCCATGGTTTAATATTTGATATCTTTGTATATTTTTGTTTTTTAAATGCAAAGTTTGAATCCATTGTGGAATTGAGTTATAAATTAATCGTCAATTGTAAATTGATAGTCTTATTAGTAATAAGGTGTTTGGCCATTCAAGATATCCATATGTTCCAATGAGAGATTTGTGCTACTGATATTAGCTCGACATTGCAAACAATTCACTGAATCCATTGTGATAATTTTATAGATTCCGAAATCATGAACATGACCACTTTGGCCATTTGCAGATAACATGGATTTCCTCTTGGTCTTGTCTTCCCTCGTTAAACAAAACCTATCAGATTATCCACCGTCGGGAGGGAGGGATAACATCCTTACTTCATATTGCTTTTCACGTGTTTTAGAAAACTTTATAGGTTATTTACTTGAAGGATTGAATATGGTGTTTTATTCCGAGGGAAAACATTATACTGACCCAAGGTTAATAGGATATTTACCGAGGAAACGTACGTTTAGCTCCCATTAACATTGATCTGTAACAATATATCCTGTAACATTGTCATTCATATTACCCGAGGATAAAATCGATATTCAATCCCAACCAGAAATAACATCTTTGTTTCACGAATAATCCATCTGAATGGTAATACTTTCGAATCAATGAATGTATATAAATGGCAGATATTTGTTTATGTTCTGTTTTAACAATTTACATGTATTTATGATTTTTCCTTCATCATGTCCAAACTTAATATTTATTCTTTACATGAAATAGTAGTTTAAAATACTCTCTCCATAATTGCAAATATAAGGGGCTGTTTGAATATATTCTTGATCAGTTGATACATGGACGTTTACTGGGAGGGATGGAATATTAATTTTATTCTGGGGGGAAAATATGATATTGGCAAAGAAAACTATCATATTGATCGAATGCGAGAGCCCGGCCCAAGTATCAATATGATATTTTCCGAATCAGGGAAAACATGTTATTATGGAATAATAAGCATTACTGAAGGAAATCACACTTGAAGACTTGTATAAAAAGACTTCTCTTTTGCTGATTTCATTTAATTTTGATGTATTCATTGAAGAAATCAATTGAAGATGATTGTATAGTGTCAGCTATATCGTAGATAACCTGTACTTAGATATGTCGAACGTACTGTTTATATAAAATACACAATTCAAAAGGCTCAGCACAAGTGTGAATTGCATTAATGATATGTTACGTTACCCTTTCTCAGTCAATATTCTTTAATTTATAGGTTCCTTTCTAATTATATTGAATATATATTTTGATACTCTTCGGTTAGTTTCTTCCTATGTTTTTTACGAGACACAACCAGCATGGGAGTAAACCGCATCCTAAAATGTATATTCATACTTTACAAAGTGTCATTATTTTTATCATCGCAAGTTCGGTTTTCTCGAATCAAAATTAAGGAAACTGTATACTTGAGCAGTGATGTCTTAGATGCGAACTCGAGGGCTGAAAGGGCATCCAGTTTGATGGAATGTTCTCAGGTTTGCACCGAGGTATCTGCTTGCCGACGCTTCAACTTCAATAGAGACAACGGTACTTGCGTCATCTTGGGAAGCTACGCAGATGACGTTCCGACTACGCTCCTTGTTGGTAATTGGATTCAAGGGGTTGTCCAAAGGAAGGTAATGTTATTTCAACTCAAAGAGATGTAAAAGAAAGGGGATTTATTATTTAGGTTAGAGAAAAATGTTAAAGAATCATTCAAATTCAACTGAAAAAGCCGAAATTGTAATTTGGTTCAATGAACGAAGGAGAGGAGTCACAAGAAAGTGGAGAGGTTAAGCAAATACGGTTTTTCAAAACGTATACGTAAACGCAAAGTACATTGAATCAACATAGGATTGTATCGCTTTAGTCTACTTCAGATACCCGTTCAACTTCAAAGTTGCGTGTTTAGAACGGGAGATTTTAAAATTTCACGTTGCTATCAACGGGAATCATTATACTCATGTCTGTTGAATACTATCCTTGCAATTTTGATTTCGATGCAGAGTATAATTCTTTCTGAAGAAGATGATGTATGTTACGCATGATTTAACTCCAATAATCTTACGAAACGAGCTCGTTTGAAATATGTATTAGAAAACCAGCTATTGAACTTCATCAATGGCATACTATGTAATCATTACAAGCTATGGTGTAGTCTAAACAAACACTAGAGCTGAACGGCTATTTATGTGTGAACTCTACACAAGGAGGATTGGCTCCCAGGATCGAAACTCGATATTTTCCAACAATGAAAACGTCGAAATGTCGTTATTTTCTGAAATTAAAACCGACTATAAATTCAAAATAAACAGTTCAAAAGATTCGAACCAATATCTCGATCGTTTCTTGTGAGTTTTGGAATTTTTCGTTTGGAAATAAGACCAAAATTCACGATTTAAATGTTGAAGTGAACAAAATGGCGGCTGTTTGAATTCGAATTTTGTATTACGACATACCCATATATGGGACAGAATATCGGTGGTGCACTCTGGGAGCCAATCCTCCTTGAACTCTACATGTATTTGTATAGGACGATTGATACGTTTAAGTTGCGTTTTGGATTTTATACGGTAGCTTAACCTCTCCAGTATATTATTACTTGGTTCATTGAGTCGACCAAAATGAAGGTGGTGTGGTCATTTGCTTGGATCAACACAATCAGTGAAAGGAAGAGTCATTAAAATCTAAATCATTATATGTGACAAAGATTGGTTCAAATCACATTATCTCTGCATTGTGTATCATATTTAACTACACCCAGTATCTTAGCTGTATTATTTTGTAATCCAGAAACAGATTACGGACAGTTTCTCAGCAATGTCAATGGGTTTTATTATATTTAAAAAGTAGTATATGATGAATGTAAAAAGTAGGCCAAACTTAATTGTTTGTTAATGTTTAAAATGCTTTCTGGAAACTGATCCCTTTCTATCATCACAATAATCGAAAACACATATAAGTATGTCTCGTTATGTTTTACAGAAACAATGTGACAAATTCGGAGATTGTCATTGTCTTGTTCCTCATGGACAGTTTGATGAACATTGTACGGAATGTAAGTACGAGATTGACAGGGGTAGATCTGGGAACAAACAAGGGGGGGGGGGCAAATTTCAAGTCTGATAAAAAATATTCCGCGCTTGCGTTGAAAAAAAATTGAAAAAGGCCCATTTTCTTCAAAATTTGGCCTAAAATTAAAGAATAAGCTGGCCTTAAATAAAAGGTCCACTTATTGGGGCCTTTTAGGTTTTTTGGCCTTAAGGCCCCTGGGCCTGGGCTCCCCCGCCAGTGCAAATAAAATATAATTTGCAATATACATGTGCGCTTTTCTTGTGCAACGAGCTCATCCCAAGCAGAAATTCGATCGAAAGTATCATTAAAGTATATCCGATCGGAGATTTTGAGAAAATAGACATGGCAAGGGATGACAAGGACGTCCAAAATATTCTAAAATTGATACAATTTTTGTCAAGGGCACTCTGACGACTTCTTGCCATCTTGTTAGACATTCAGAGATGCTACCTTTAATTTTTTATTTGAAAAACGAGCCTTCTTCGATCTTTCGTGATAATTCCTAACATTGTGAAATAGCTTGAATTGCTGTAACTATATAATGCTGTGGGCTTAAAGGTAATAAAGTAACATCACACTTACGTCCCGGCGATCATACGTCCAAATAATAGTTGTGTTTCAAATATTAATTGTATCACGATATACGAGACCAAAGTTAACGCTACCAGGGAGAATTGGACCTGCATGCCTTACTATTTATACATGTTTTTCTGTTTTGAAAAATTCGATATGTGATGTATATTTCTTAGTAATACTTACAAATATTTCGTTGCGGTTTTAGGCTTTAATTCGTAATTTCAATCACCGCCATCACTTTTCAAACGAGTTACTTTGAAATATCAAGACGTCATGCTATTCTCATACTTATATCGAACTTAATATGACTGTCATTCACCTTTTATCAAGCAGTAGAAAATTAATTTGCTCCATGGGTGACAAAATGTTTCTAGTTTCCTGCTGAATGTCGAATCTCGCATCATACGAATGTAATTTTAGGCGATCTGTCTGCAGGGGGTGAATGTTACTCTGGTATCGGGCATTCACTTGGCCTTTTGACAACGGTATAATAGTACACATTTATAAAACACATGTTTAGTGTTTAATACTATTGTACAGAATACTAAACAGCGTTTAATATGAACGAAAGCCGAGTTCGGTTTTTTTAATATTCATAATAAGGTGGTATTGTTCCACATGTACAGCAGCAATCTTTTCACTAATAAACCTTGGCAGTCCCTTTGCTTACACAGTATTCATTCCTTTTTACTGTAACATGAATAGCAATCAAGCTCCTATGAAGCGTCCCAAAGTGAACCGGTGAACTCCTCGACCTCACTTTACACATTGAACAAGAGGCATAAGGCTATAAAATATTTTATAGCTGAGTGAAACTTTCTGGATAAAGTACTGGCAGAAGTGTTTAGATGAACAGCAAGATGACATTCTGGAGCTTTGTACTTACATTCTGTGGAATTGTGGGCTTTCACTGCTGTCTTGCTGGAGAATATGGGATTGTAATAGATGCAGGAAGCAGCGGCAGTCGAGCCAGAATCTATACCTGGCCTGAAAGAACTTCTCTGAGTCAAACAATCCAACTTACAGAAGTTGGGAACAAAAAGATCAAGCCAGGATTGAGTGCTTTTGTAGGGGACGCAAATGGGATAAGGGATCACGTGTTACAGCTAATTGATGCGTGCAAGGATAATGTTCCAGATGATAAACAAGTAGACACTCCAATTTATGTAATGGCCACTGCTGGAATGAGACTTTTAAAAGGTACCGACGCATTTGCAATCTACGAAAAGGTGGACGAGTTTTTATCTGACAAGTCCTTCTCCCCATTTGATTTTCAAAAGGGAAACGCAAGAACGCTGTCGGGTGAGGAAGAAGGGGCATTTACCTGGATTGCTGCCAACCAACTCAACGGCCTGTTTGGAAAGGGTCGCACCACTAACGAGACTGTTGGCATTATTGAAATGGGCGGGGCTTCAACCCAGCTTGCGTTTGTACCCCGGGGAAATCTATTGGCTGACAAATTTCCTGTTTTCGTGGCTGGAAAGCATTATCCATTATATGTTCATAGCTACCTCTATTATGGTCAAGACTTTGGTATCCAAAAGATAAAGAACAATCTCTACCGAAACAGACCTGACGGCGCTTCCAACGTTATCATTAACCCTTGCATGTTAGTGGGTGATGATAAACTTATTGATATGCAAGGTGTGGAAATACAATACCAAGGTAGTGGGAACCCCGATGAATGTCTAAACCTCATACGAGATGAACTAGTGTATAAAAGCCCAGATCATCGGTGCTTCCCAAAACCATGTTCGATAGGACCGGTGTATCAACCTGAAATCCCCGCCGGTATGTTATTCTACGCCGTCTCCGCGATCATACACACTAGTAAGACAATTGGTGCGACATCTGCCGATAACGGCATGACCAATGCGGGAACCATTCTTGCTGAGAGTCGGGAGTTCTGTCAATTGGACCTGCAGACTGCGCTAAATAAAACGGGAGATAGTTATTCAGACGCTCGTTGTCTATCTGGACTTTTGATAAGCACAATGATGATCGAGGGATGGGGCTTTGACAAAGATGAACAAGTAGATGTAAGCGGAAATATAGCGGGCGAAGAGCTAACTTGGACACCAGGTGCTATGATCTACGAAGTTGAGAGAAGAGACAGAGGGCGCTCACTCAATGACGTCATCAACGTAGGAACAATGCATCATATATTCTCCGGATTATATGGAGTTTTAGTGCTTGCAATATTGTCAACTATACACTTCATGTAGACATGGTTGGCACACTTTAAGGTACTGGTGGACGAAAACATTTACGAAATTGCTGTACCTGCACATGTTCAGAAAATAACATGACAGCATTTTTTCAAAAATGTTTTTGTTCCACGTACCAGTATTAAAATAGATGAAAAGATGATAAGATCTAATTACATTTCACAAAATTTTGACAATGTACATCAAAGTTAATTATATGCGTTTAAAATCATGGATCGCATTTTGAGCCACCTTGTCATCTAATAAAATATATGTACTGATCATACTTCAGATGTTTTGTCGGAATAACCAAATATTTTGTATAGATGTACATCGAAGTCACCTAGGCTGTCAGTTTGTTGTTTTGCATCATCAAATCGACCTCCTTCTTAGAGGAGTTGCAGCCATAGTTCAAACTCGATACGGAGTATCGGAGTTTGAATAACGCCTTCCAATATCCTCCTTGGTGAAATTATGAAATAAATATTTCCTCCGACGGAATTTCAGTCATTTTGTGTGTAACCAAAAGGGGACGAGTGAAAAATTGTTATTTGTATATGTATAACCTCAAAGTCCTCAGATTATTAATATTGATAACATTTTAGATATATATAGGCAGCTTATTATCGAAGGAACTTATCAACTTGAGGCCTCGTTGTTATTTTTTCTTTTTCTTTTTGTTATCATTATCAATAATTACATGATAATATTGTTTATAATGATAATTACTATAAATGCTATCTTGTACTTGGTAGACATATTTTGGTCTATACCTTTTGGCATTTTTTCGATTTTGTTTCGTTTTCGTAAGGATTTAGCCCTGGGCTTAGTACAATGATGAATGACCATTCCTTTAAGGAATTGCTTTCCAAAATTTGCACGAGATGCGGTGTTAATTTTAGGAACCAACGACTGTAAAAGGAGTGGTCATTCCACAATGCATTGAGTCTTCATTATCTTTTTCACACATTGCAAAATATCGTCTTTACAATCATCTAAAAGGTCACTATTTTTAACAGAAAGGTACATGCACTGTGTTTTCACTAATACAAAAGATGTACCGACACCGTAGGTTCCGCCGGGTTTCGAACCCAGGACCTTCTGCGTGTTAGGCAGACGTGATAACCACTACATACACTACGGAACCGTTTGGTTGTGGACCGTTCAACCCAGTGGGGTGTAATAAATATTGATTTCCCAACTTTTGTATACGCCAAAAGCTGAAAAGCCAATTTTGGGTCAAAATGAAAACAAATTGGGCCCTGCTAATACGTTTCAAGAAACAAGTACTGAATCGGGAAACATACAACATGTAATGGGTACTTCCGAAACATTTAGAATACGAACCGAGTTACTCACTTCGAGAGCCATGTTAGATTTTGAAACTTATCATATCAAAGATAGAGTTTATTGTCTTATCTGATGACTACAACATTCAATAACCCATATTTATTTTTTTCTGATATTATAAGGTTCCAAATAATTTATCATATGAAGAATAATTGTGTAAACCGTGAAGAAATTCCTTTTGAAAATATTTTCAAATAACTCTTGAAAATCGCCCCTTGCTGAAATCTTTCAAAAAACTCCAAGCGATTTGCTTTAAAAACACGAATCAGTAGAGCAATATCAATACTAAAAGTGATAAAAACTAGGGTTCTTCAACAGGACATATTTCTGGATTTTCTGGGGTTTGGTTACTACTATAGATAAAACTGGTAAATTAGACGTATCAAACCAAAATTCGAGTTAAACTAGCATCTGCACTATCATTGTAGTATGCCAGGTCACAGGGTCCCTTGGCGTTTCTAACAGTAGTGTCGTCCCCGGGAATTGGATGTCTAGTAGCTCTCATCTTGGTGACAGAAAACCCTTTATGGCGAGGTTGAATCAAATGTACGGATGGGTCACAGACACAGAAGGGAATATTGATGAAGAATGGATTCAAGTTGACTTTGATAGGACCGTGGTTGTCGATAGTATCTATACGCAGGTATCTTTGGAAGTAATATTACCCCCGTCCCGAGCTTTTAATTTCGATGGTGCAACATCGATCATTATTTTAGACATCGTCTTATTTTTAGGATTCTCAGTAAAATTTTACTCTAAGTTCCAAATATCACCGTTGTCATTCGAAGTTTTTGCCATTGTAATTGCAGGTGGTGGCAATAGGTCATGTGAATTATTTATCTATTTTTGTTTTACATTTATCTATTCCACTTCATGTATGATCCGATGATATTCGTAAAGTATTCTTTATTTTCTTTCTACCATTTGTGCTTCAAAAAAATTTCTTTTAAGGGATGTAACGAGTGCATACAAATACGTTGGGTAAAATCCTACAGACTCTCATATCTCTCAGACAGTGATAACTGGAAACAATACAACCATGTGGTCTATGGGCAGGTAATTTTCTATACTCGTTCTAAAATATATTTTTTGGCTTGTACGAGGGTTGATCCAAATGTTCCGAACCGTTTGCGCTAAAAATCTTAATATTTAATGAATATTGTTCATATTTGGCCTCAACCACCCCATATATAGTAGTTTCATTTTTTGTAAAAATAAACAATTAATTTGACAAGTAACATAGGTATCTGGTTACCATAGCAACATTACAACAGGGTATGTGGAGCAAGAGAATAGAGTTGGAAAAAAGTTGACACTTGAAGGGTGTATACAGGGTACCAAATGTATTTCAAATTTGCTAGTCATCCCTATTAATCAATTATTCTTTCATTAGACCAATTCTATATGTGTGATCTGATATCATACAATATAGTTGGCAAGTGTAATGTCATTGACCAGAAGAATGCCTTGCGCCAAAAGCAGTCAAATTAAAGCATGAAATCCAGTTCGATTTCGACAATGCGCAATTCCATACCTATACTTACTCAAACGTTAATGAAAATATGCACATGCCTTGGCTTACCCTTGCATCCTTCTCTCTATATATGCCCCCATCGGCGTTTATCTTTATAATGACCTGAAGTACAAATTGCAAGACAAGACATGCTTTTGAACATTAAATTAAGTATTGCTGTTCTTGAGTGGCTTTCTGAGACAGATAATGGTAAATTTAAAGATGTGTTTGATCAAAGGGTCAGCAGATATACTAACTTAGTATATCTGCTGACCCTTTGATCAAACACACAAGTGTAAGGGGATAAGAGACTGTTTTGCGAAATAAATCAAGAACTAACAATGAAATATGGACAAATTGAAAAAATAATTGGTTAATAGGCAGGCATGACTGACACATTTGAAATTTGGTACCCTGTACCCTCTTTTAGAATCAACTTTTTTCCACCTCTACGTTATGTCGTACTCTTGCTCCACATACCCTGTTGCCATGTTACTATGGTAACCAGATACCTGTGTTGCTGGTCAAATTTATTGCATATTTTTTACACAAAATGAAACTGGTATTGATTGGGTGGTTGTGGCCAAATATGAACAATTTTCATATAGTATTAAGATTTTTAGAGCAAAAGGTTCGGAACTTTTGGATCAACCCTCGTATTAAACAGTTCTTTTAATAAATATTTTCAAGATGCCTTGCTAAAAGTCTACGTTGAACATCGAGTTTACTGATTAGACGACATCTATTTAAAACATTAAAGAATTTACAATAGTAAATAACCGTGATCGAATATATTTGTGTTTGTGTTTTTTCCATAGGTCCTCCCTGGAAATAGTGATGCTGCTACTGTAGTGTCAACTCGCTTGATTCCACCCATTGTGACCCGGACTGTGAAACTACAGATCGCTGAAATATATGATGCTGCCGGCTTGAATAGAGGTGGCCTTCGATTGGACATGGCCGGTTGTGACTTTTGATGCATGGAACAGACACCATGTTTCCATAGCTCCATAGCATTTCGTTCAGCACATTCAAAGAACAACTCTTACACGTCCCACTTTTCGTCATCCATTTTTTTATTCGATTTCAGGACTATTGATTATTTTGTTTCGCAAAGTTAAATGCATGTTTCCCGTTACATCGTCAATTAAAGATAGGATTTAGAATTAGATATTTAGAAAGTCTATGCAAGGAGGTCTTTGGTCTATGAATTACCACATACGCATATGTGAATCAATCATCAGTAGAAATGACAGTTGATAAGTTCAAAGTTGTTAACCGTTTCCACGATGACCATGTAATATTCACTGACAACATTTTACTTATTGAATGCTGGTTATTCTACGTTAAGAAAAAGTATTTTGGGTACTAAAGACAACGCCCTCTATCGAACAGTTGTTATAGTGAATCCTCCATTGCAGATTATACAAGTAAGAATCGATACATGTAGATTTTGACCTGGACATTAAAATGCATGTGTGTCGAAAGAGAAATGTCTTACGGCTAGACTAAGATCCTCTGACATTTATTACGAGTACAGCCAAGGCACAGCTAAACAAACTGACTTTAATCTGACTCGATGTGATTACATATATATATTTACATTTTTATTTGTGTAACTGAGGAGTGCTTTCTATGAAGGCAACTCATATGCAAAACAACTCTATTTGTCAGACTGTCACTGGGCAAGAAATGAATTTTGATAGATTAATTACTTGTACTAACGTTCGTTCATTGAGTGCATATGAGAGAAGGAGGTGATGCATATAGCCTGGTCCCAGGGGAAGTATTAGCCGATCAGGACAAGTCATATATCATAATGCCTAAATGGAAGTTCAATCCCTCGCTGTGGTATATCGATATTCGATGAATTATGATCTGACGATTGAATCTCCAAAATAGTCTATGATATCTCGTTAATAATTATGGACTGCAAAGCAAGTAATAATTAAACGGTATTTTCGTACAAAAGGCAGATATTATATTAAAGTTAACGTTGAAGGAGAAAAAATATCTGGCTAAGGCACCTCTATTGGGATATTAGTTTGAGTTCATTGGCCTAATATATGTTATAAATGGTACAGCGACAGTAGACTTCAAATTGGATGGGTAAGATCAAACAATCAGAAACCCGGTCTTGGAAATACCTAACGTAATAAATTAATTAAAATGGACAATACGAAATAGTTCGTTTTTTTAAATAGATAAACATTAGTAATTTGTAACTGATATTCCTTGCAAGTTGCAAGGAGCGTATTTACTTCTTGGTAAACAAACTACATCTCTGGATGAACTTTAAATTGACGGCAAAGGACCAGATGTGCCTCAGCTTCAATTCGGATCATTGCAAAAACAAACCTGCGATTCTGGAGAATCGAGTATTTATAGAAAAAACAATCTTGGATCTAATAAGTAACACCAGTATATATACTTTTCCCGATCAGTTCATCTTTATGTTGAGTCTGTAATTGGAGAATTTGTTTCCTTAAAAACTAAAATAATTTCTCAACAAATCTAGCAGGCTTGGCGGTTAAAAAGTGTTAGTACGTGCAAACAGCGTGATAAACTACAATCATTTAAACAAAAGAGGACTATGGATTTTGGGTAAATAATCCCAGCTCGTAGCCTAACACTATGAATTCTTCAGTTTCTTCAGTAGAGTCGTTCATACTAGGAGACTCAAAGTTGGAAAATGATCTTCAGAACTGTACTGTCTATCTCGTAGTTGATCCGCAGGAAGATCATGAGAAACTCACGCATGAGAACGAACTTATTTACGTCGTTGTTGTTGTGACGTTTTACGCACTAACGTTAATGTCACTGATCGGGTATCAAATAAGGCGATCAAAGAGGGACGGAATGGAATTGGATTATTTCGAGGAATATGTCCAAAGGAAATCTATGCTAACAGCAGACAAGAAAGCGCAGAAAATAAACATGATTAGGATGATTGAATCACAATTAAGCGTGGCTAGCTCTCGGGCAGCTATGACAATACCAGAGGAAGCCGAAGTAGATGTAGATGCAGAGGACGTTGAAGAAGTTGCCGAGGAAAATGATAACGTTAATAGTCGTGTGTTTATTGTATGACACACATCTGAGGTCGTAAATAACACGGCTAGCCGTTTATTGGATATTAGTGCCTAGGGTGTTAACACTTTAGTGATTGATTATCAACGGATTGCCTAATATTTTCTTAGATTGTCCAATATGAACCTTTCAAGCACAAGATCAGTAAACGCATTCTTTCACATTTTACGTAAAAACTTATCACTGCGTTCAAGTGGGTTTGAACAAGTAATCTCAAATTGTTTGAGATAAATCCACTTGTAAAAAGATTACTAGGGTATATTTAACCTTTCTCCTTCGACTCACAATCTTGACTAATTGGTACCATTTTAAAGCCTCGTTTTACAATCATTATGTAACGAATTATATACAAAACATATTCTAGCATAAACATGGCTGAGTTTAGCTGTGATGAACAATATCAATTTCCTTTAAGACTTCTATATTCAATCTATTTATGAATTAAAGGAGTATGCGATGGTTGCTTTTGGGTTTACTGACATCGCCAGTTTTGCTGAAATAAAAATATATACTTTGCATTGATTGACCACGATAAAAGATATTAGATTAGTACTAAGAAGAGAACATTGGAGAATTTATGCATTTAACGGTAACATTTGTAAGGTAAAACGTTCCCCCTGGCCTCGTGTTTACAAAGTATTTATCAGCAGTGATACCCTGGGTATACGAGCACAGTAAACAAGGTGAAACTTTCTTTTATAGAAATAAAATCAAAGTTTTGAAAATGGTAAAGTATTGACTAGTGGATATATAATTTTATCCCATACTTGGACCTGTTACAGGTACATAAAGCCGGTTTGTAAAAACTTATATTTTCATCAGCGGGCAGATATAGCTTTACGTCCCGCTCCGAGCGGGCAGATATAGTATATCTGCCCGCTACGTCATAATCGCTAGTTCCCGTATTGGTTCTTTTTTGTAACTCCCGCATACTGTAAACGACAATGGAGAAAAACGCAGACGATCGCGATCTGTTTGATGCTTTAAAGAGGGGAAAGAGCAGTATGCCCCGTTAATCATCAAAGATTTGAACAGGAAAATCCGGCCACGGACAAGAATACAAACTGGACATGAATATTTTAAAATAATTCCACGGTTGGTTGCAAAGTTTCTGAACTTTGGCCAATTGAACAATGTGATTGGTATGGGATAAACAGATCATCCTATAGTCGGTTCAGGATATTGGGATTATCCCTTGGCCAATATAATATATCTACCCTCGGGACCTACGGCCCTCGGGCAGATATATTATATTGGCCTCGGGATAATCCCAATATCCTGAACCTCTTATAGGATAATCTCTATATATATAACATATGATGGGGATTTTTAAAACATTCAGGCATTCAACTTATCGTGCAAATACACAGCACCTAATATAAATACAGATTGTATTGTTTGTTGATCAACTCGAATTACAAAAAGTGAAACCACAGAATAAAATTGTTTGTTATTACGTTATATACAAATATTTTTGCATACTTTTTAAATGGTACGGAACGCTCAATCATTTTCCCTTGACATGACACATGTAGATTGAAGGCACCTTTGTTATAACACAGGTTGAAGTTGGGGCATCTGATGACAACTCAAATTGTATGAATAAAAGGTTACAGTTAGACTACATGTAAGTCAAGATCGATTAAGTTTAACGTGCAAGTCGGGTCGTTTTTTAGATGACACTCATCTGGGGTCTACATTGCACAAACTCTGCATTCGTTCGACTTCGCTACTTAAAAAGAGAGCTTCGTAGTTTGTAAGTAGACTCTGCGCGCAGGGTAGAATGTTCACTTTTGTGAATATAAAAATCGAGATAGTCGATTATATTTTTTATAGATCACTATAGAGAGCGTTGTTAGCAATTAGCGATCGAGCAACAATGAAACAGATTGATCCCCTCGTTCTACCTGCATGCTATACTCAAGACTTCAGATATAATTGGACTGGTTAGATTTTTTTATCCGGATAACAACATACTATATATATCGATCAGAAATATTCTTCACGACAACACAATATCATGATAATATTAACAGCAAATACTTCACACACATTCAAACAAGCTGCTAGAGGAGTATATGAGAACAAGCTAAGCAAACTATACTATTTCATTCGCAGGTACCCTTGAAGTTGGGGGACAATATTTGCAGTATCTCTTAATACAACACGATGAAGGATTAATTCATGAAACATATTGCAGTGCACTACATTGCAATAATGCACTTGTTTTAACGATTAATGTGCTTATTCTATTCACTTTGACGAATGTCCTATTTTATACATATAAAGGACAAAATGCGTATTTGCATAATACACGTAGGAATCAATAGACTGAATAACACTTTCTAAAAAACAATTTTCGAATGTGACATTTTGTATGATCTTAACAACGTAATACAAAGGATAAGTCGCCGTATGTTAGAAGCATCGAGACGAGAGTATAATCAATATATGTGATCCACTAAGGTAATTTCATGCAAGTGGAGTAGAAAAACTATAAGTACATTTTCTAAGGTAAATACAGTTATAGAGACTGCAATTAAAACGACGGGTAGTTTTCAGGTATTAATAGCAATGTATACAGACTGAATATTTCCAATCATAAACCATATAATCACCCGACGACTTGTGCAAAAATGGCTGACAAAGAAGGGAGTAATTCCCCTGGTCAAAAAGAAGGGGACAAGGAAAACAACGACAGTAATAATGATGAGAACGTTAATGAGAAAAATACCGACAGTGAAGGTAAAACTGGTGATAAAACACAGGACTCACTGGGTGATAATCAAAATGATAAGACCGCAAATGAAAGTGAAAAGTCATCTAATAATGACGAATCAAAAACCGATGATGGAGATACTGAAAGAGACGATGGAAATAAGGAAGACGGTGGAAATAAAAACGAGCCAGAGAAAGATGTAAGTGAACAGAAAGACGAACAAAATAAAGGGGATGATCGGCAAGAATCTTTTCTAACAGATCAGAAACAAGACAATGATCCTGATGAAGACGAAAATGATGATGCAACAGCTACTAAAGGTACCGATGGAGAGAGCAATGATGAATATGATGAACTTCCTCTTGATGATGATGACAAACCACTTGACAGCAACGGAGAAGATGATGCTAATGAAAATGGTACAAAGAATGACAAGGACGAAGAAAAGGATAACGACGATAGTGACGACAGAACATCGAAAAGCAATACCGAATCCGATGAAGAAGGCAATGAAGATAAAGAAAATAAGGAAGATGAAAATGAGAACGAAAATGACACCGATATGAACAATGAACGTGAACAAGCTGATCCTAAAGATACTAAGGAGGTTAATAATACTAGTGATGAAAGCCCAGAAGAACAGAAGGAAACTTCAGATACTAGTGGTGAAGCTGTAAAGGAGGATCAAGAGACAATAGAAGATCAAAAAGAACCAAGTAAAGACAGTCAGGAAGCAATTCATGAAAATCAACCTGAAATACCAGATAGCCAAGAATCTCTCATTGAGGATCAAGAAGAGGAAGACTCGGGTAGCCAAGAACCACCTGTAGAGGAAGAAAATAAAGGCGAAGAAGGTGAAGAACAAAATGATATTAACGAGCAAGAAAAGGAGCTCTCAGATGATGACTTTGTTTTGAAGCTCAACAATAACGACATTCAAGTGATGAAAGAGACAAAGGAATGGGAAAACACATATGGTGTTGACCTCGAAGCAATGGAAAAAGACATTGAACTCCTACTGTTAGGAGAAATGGACTTGAATAATGAGAACTTAACTGATGAAGATAAATCGTTAGTTGAGACACAGATTAAAGAAATGAAATTGTTGACGTTGGATGAACTTCTTGAAAGAACAATGTCGCCAGAATTCTAACAAATGCAACGTTTATTCGACTCATTCAAACTATGTATTCATACATACACTGTAGACGATCTTCTTGTTCTGATATTGCCTTTTTCATAATATGCAAAGTAAAGAATCAAGTTATTTTCAATAAATCAATTATCATCATTACAAGCGAATCATATTTTGCCCAACTGTTACCAGCAAAGTGTTCTGCAATTTTAATTCCAGTCCCTCTCATGTCTTTATCGACCTACCTCAGACAAGATTCACTATCTTATCATAATTTAACACGTATGAGAAGCCACGTGCATGCAAATTTTCATATATTTTTGGGATCATTTTGTTTTTTATCAATCATCATAACACTGGATTTACCTCAAGATGACACTTAAACATAGCATTGGATATTTTTGGTTACTTCTTATGGTAGGAATTTCAGAAGGGGGAATGCATAATTTAAGAGGTAAGCAATAAAGTGTTTATCTAGTTCCAGCAAATTGATAAAGTAATCAAAGAGTAATTTAGATTTTAGATTTGGATTTAGATTTTAGATTTTATTTATTTAGGGTATTAGAGTCTCAAGCAGTACAAATTTTAGCAACAATTTTATTGGTAAAACTCTGTCATTTAGAATGACTATAGTATTTGGAATAACAAGTATCTCATTATACAACAGATACCACTGTTATAAAAATTTTAAATTTTTTTTAAAAAACAGCAGAGATATTGATCACCGTTTACTTTTCAGAATTAACTGGGTCAATTAAATTGAAAGGAGGCACATTAAATATTGGGGTGAAAGATTCTACCTCTATGACAGGAGAGCATCCACCTAGAGAGGTCACAGTGAAACCATTTGAAATTGACATCTACCCGGTTACAAACTGGCAGTATCTGTAAGTAGATGGGGGGGGGGGGGTGCAATTCCTAAAACCAAGAAATTACTTGAAAAATAAGCTTCTAGTCTTAAAAAACTTGTACTTTCTTCAGCATGAAAAGTTAGCATACGGAATGTAATCGTTAAGACATTCATGTCAGCAACCACATGCTGAAATGTTTATTACTTGTTTCAGTCATTTTATTGGGCAAAAGAAGAAATTCATACCACTGTCTACATCTCGGGGCTGGAGCTATGTGTTTAAGAAGGACATAATGAAGGACCCTAACCGTATAACTGATAAATCCATACCCTCTCAACCCTGGTGGTCTCCTGTTAGGGGTACAACATGGGAAACGGTATTTTCAACATACATTTTAATAATTGATTTGATTGTTTTGGTTCTGAGCTGTTACACTAGCATATTGAGATTCCTAGAGATTCATTTAAACACTGGAATTTAATGCAAAACATACGATAAATACAATAAAAACCCTACATTACTTTGCACAATATCATAGAATCGTAGAATAAAGTCCAATACAGTATCGCACTGTTCAAAAAGGAATTACAATTCAATTCAGCACAATACAAGATATAATACACTAAAGTACAATACAATGCAATTACAATTACAATACAATACCAAACCAAACAAATATAATTATATTCATAATTACTTGATATACTTAAGGCGCAGAACTGTTCCTTGTTTCAGCCTGAAGGACCGGGTTCATCTATGAAGATGGACCACCCTGTGGTCCATGTGTCCTTTGAGGAAGCTAAACTCTACTGTAAATGGAAGGGGAAACGACTACCTACAGAGAACGAGTGGGAGTTTGCAGTCAGAGGAGGTCTCAGATGTAAGAATCCTACATATATGTAATATTTTATACAAATGATTTAAGACATATTTGTGTGAGGTGCGTGGGAATAAGTAGGAAGATTTGCTTAATCAAAATGAGAGAAAAATGATATTTTTCCTGTATGGCGATATTTAATTGATTGTTTATTTTTTATTTCAGCAAAGGCGTTTCCATGGGGAGATCACTATAAACCTAACAGGATGAATGCATGGCAGGTACATTTATAATTTTAGATATTTTGTTGTACTGTATATGGATTGTATATTCTTAATTTATGATAATTATATTCAGACAACAAAAAGAATGATTTACTAGATATCAAATTATTATTTGTTTAATATTATATCTTTGAAATATGTTTTAATAAACCTTGTCAGAAAAAAGGTTATTTACATTTTTCTGGTATTCATTTTAGGGATCGTTTCCTCTCAAAAATACAGAATCTGATGGCTACTATACGACATCACCCGTTGACGCATTTCCACCACAGAATGACTTCGGTAAGATATTTCTTGAGACCAAAATGAAAAAACTTTCCACCATCTAGCAAAACGTAAATGTTCCTCTGAAACTAAGAGGGGATAATCAGTCCTCGTACCCCGATTACATCAATATAAAGACCGATGAAAAGGGGGATAATCTGTACATGTACAGGTCCGCCCTTGTTGCTGGAACTATACGTTAGCACTGTCAAAATGCATCGTCTGTTTTATCGAAAGAAAATGCTTGTCATGAACTTTGTGTTATTGAAAGTAAAAATATGGCAGTCATGGCACCTATGTAGATAAAAAAAATCATGTCGTCATTTTTCCTATTGATCCTACATGCCATCCTTTGTTTGTTTAATCGATATTTGTTTTTGTTGATTTCTTTGTTTGGCATCGTAAAGATTGCTTGATTAAAGTTCAATGTAATGAATGTGATAAAATTCATTACATCTATGATGTTTGAAAATAGGTCATTATGGCAATCATCCAAAAATAAAACATCCCAAGTATGGGGAAACCATAACAGTATACCGTATTTAATAATGGAGAGGTTAAGCAAATACGGTTTTTCAAAACGTATACGTAAACGCAAAGTACATTGAATCAACATAGGATTGTATCGCTTTAGTCTACTTCAGATACCCGTTCAACTTCAAAGTTGCGTGTTTAGAACGGGAGATTTAGAAATTTCACGTTGCTATCAACGGGAATCATTATACTCATGTCTGTTGAATACTATCCTTGCATTTTTGATTTCGATGCAGAGTATAATTCTTTCTGAAGAAGATGATGTATGTTACGCATGATTTAACTCCAATAATCTCACGAAACGAGCTCATTTAAAATATGTATTAGAAAACCAGCTATTGAACTTCATCAATGGGATACTATGTAATCATTACAAGCTATGGTGTAGTCTAAACAAACACTAGAGCTGAACGGCTATTTGTGTGTGAGCTCTACATGTATTTGTATAGGGCCGATTGATAGGTTTAAGTTGCGTTTTGGATTTTATACGGTAGCTTAACCTCTCCAATAAGGTAACATTACGGTAAATGTTACTTTATACATGTTATAATTAATGCAAGATCAGTTCCTACACAGTTCATTAAAATGGGCCCAGTTTAGACATATTTATACCTATTTCGTGCATGACGTTCAGCCTCAAAATGATGTGCTGTGTAATTATTGTTATTTATAGGACTGTATGACATGATTGGCAACGTCTGGGAATGGACGGATAGTGTCTACGAAGCACGTGGAGATAGGCATCGTTCGAGGATGGCCCAGGGGAAGGGACGTAAACACGTTTTGAAGGGGGGTTCTTTCATAGACATAAGAGATGGTCTTCATGGGTTGGAAGACTCTAGCGTGTTGACGTTACCTGTAAGATGTGCTTCAAGGTGAGTAGTCATACATTACCATAATGAAACAACCTTCTCATGCTCATTAAATGTCAAAACTGACGAACTCCATCTGAGAAAATTTCACATCATTTTAGTTTTGCAAATGTGAATAGATGGAAGCTCAGTTCAAGTCCCGGGGATTCAAGCCCATCCATGATATCTTACTACTCTGTGGCGACCGGGGGTTCAATGGGTTCGTGCGAACCCCCGATCAAAATTTACAAACATTTTCATTACTAGTGTTTCTCATTGATTCCCACCAAACCAGTCTGGGATGTTATCGCATTGGAAATGGGAACCCATTTCAGTTGATTCGATGGCATTCTTCTTACGATTGGACGTGGGGTTCGCTGTTTTGATGTCCTTTTGATCATCACGTGACAGGCTTACGTTTCCATTTTTGTATTCAATGATGATATAGGATTTCTAGCGTTCTGATTGGCATATGTGGCATGAATAATATTAATATATTAACATACAGAATAGCGACGTCACGTTGTCACATTATATGACCTTGAAATTGGGTAAATATGAACCTGAAAACTTCCTAGGGACAATACTAAAAGGGTTGATGAATTGTCCCAAATGGTATAACTTATGGGGACAACACATCAGCCCTCAGCGAATCATTCCCATGATGATTTCAGAGCATATATGGATTGTACATTAATCCATAATAAATTGTCTCTAGGAGGTGGTGTAAATAGTGATCATTAACTCATTTGAATTTGTTGGGTGAAAAATAGATTGACACAGGGATAAATGATCAGATCTCCCTTTTTGTGAATATAGATTTCTGAAATTCCATAGTTTGACGAGACAGCCTGTTGGCCATATTCATATTGGCAAGGTGGGATATTAATTCGGAGTAACTGAAAACTTTACTGTAAATCAAGATGCCCCTTAAGGCCCAAATCCAAGCTCAGCTTTGTTTATATTCTATTAATAATAAAGTCCCTTGGCTCAAATCAAACTGAAATCGACTGTGCTTCATATTTCTGTAGCCTATTTTGACCCCACCTCGCAGATGATATCTAATGTTCGATACTCTAAACATAGAAAGGAGTGGTATCGATATGGTGAACTTTTTGAACACATGTTTCTTTTAAACCAGTCATCAAAACATTTTGAAAATTTTACACATCGTCAATTTAATGGTCATGTTTTGGATAATAACATTATAATTTAGATTGTTTCAGAAAACACATTAGACACTTCTTTTGTTCTTGGAACCATATGTTCGAAATAAAATGAAACATTTATCCGAACCTCATTGGAACAAAACGACATAAACACAACGTGGTTAGGGCTCTCAATATTGTAATTGTACAAAGGAAAGTTTGGTTGATTTTAAAAAAGTATCTTGTAAGTGAAATAAAAGGTTTATCTTAATTTTTATCTATTTTGGGGGGTTTTGTTTTAATTTTTTGCATACTTTTTGTAAAATCAACCAAAATTTCCTTTGTATAACTATAATATTAAGAGGTCTAAGAAAATGTTGTATATGCTATTTTCCTCCAACAAGCTTCGGAAAGTCATTTTATTTCATTCTCAAGAATTGGTAGAAAGGAACAAGAAACAATTGCACTAAAAACAAAAAATGTTAACAAAAACAGTTATATAAAATATATAAAAATAATCATCACATTAAATTGTTGTCGATTAGTCAACATTACATAAAGGACCGTGTTTTTACAGAATGTTTTCAATAATTGGTTTAAGAGAAAAACATTGTTGAATTCAGTTCACCATATCGATACCTATCCTTTGGCATTTCGCGGATATATATTGTTATCTACATTTTACACCTACAAAAATCAGATTTAGTCCCCGGACTCAAGATTAATTACGAATTCATTTACATAGTTTGCCTTTACAATACATGTTTTGCCTTTCGTGCATTTTCAAAGTAATGATTCAAAGAGAAGAGAGTACTGTGGTTTGACCGATAATATTACCTATTATTTTACTAAAGTTAGATTTATGGACAGAATACGATCACATTACAAAAAATAGAGACTGCAACGAGATATTTAAAACGTTGACATCTGGTTAGTCTAAAGCAGTGTTGTATCTCACTAGTCTAAAGCAGTAGTATCTCACTAGTCTAAAGCAGTTGTATCTCACTAGTCTAAAGCAGTTGTATCTCATTAGACTAAAGCAGTTGTATCTCACTAGTCTAAAGCAGTTGTATCTCACTAGTCTAAAGCAGTTGTATCTCACTAGTCTAAAGCAGTTCTATCTCACTAGTCTAAAGCAGTTGTATCTCACTAGTCTAAAGCAGTTGTATCTCACTAGTCTAAAGCAGTTGTATCTCACTAGTCTAAAGCAGTTGTATCTCATTAGTCTAAAGCAGTTGTATCTCACTAGTCTAAAGCAGTTGTATCTCACTAGTCTAAAGCAGTTGTATCTCACTAGTCTAAAGCAGTTGTATCTCACTAGTCTTAAAGCAGTTGTATCTCACTAGTATAAAGCAGTTGTATCTCACTAGTCTAAAGCAGTTGTATCTCACTAGTCTTAAAGCAGTTGTATCTCACTAGTCTAAAGCAGTTGTATCTCACTAGTCTAAAGCAGTTGTATCTCACTAGTCTAAAGCAGTTGTATCTCACATGTCTTAAAGCAGTTGTATCTCACTAGTCTAAAGCAGTTGTATGTCACATGTCTTAAAGTAGTTGTATCTCACTAGTCTAAAGCAGTTGTATCTCACTAGTCTAAAGCAGTTGTATCTCACTAGTCTAAAGCAGTTGTATCTCACTAGTCTTAAAGCAGTTGTATCTCACTAGTCTAAAACAGTTGTATCTCACTAGTATAAAGCAGTTGTATCTCACTAGTCTAAAGCAGTTGTATCTCACTAGTCTAAAGCAGTTGTATCTCACTAGTCTTAGAGCAGTTGTATCTCACTGGTCTAAAGCAGTTGTATCTCACTAGTCTAAAGCAGTTGTATCTCACTAGTCTTAAAGTAGTTGTATCTCACTAGTCTAAAGCAGTTGTATCTCACTAGTCTAAAGCAGTTGTATCTCACTAGTCTTAAAGCAGTTGTATCTCACTAGTCTAAAGCAAATGTATCTCACTAGTCTAAAGCAGTTGTATCTCACTAGTCTAAAGCAGTTGTATCTCACATGTCTTAAAGCAGTTGTATCTCACTAGTCTAAAGCAGTTGTATGTCACATGTCTTAAAGTAGTTGTATCTCACTAGTCTAAAGCAGTTGTATCTCACTAGTCTAAAGCAGTTGTATCTCACTAGTCTTAAAGCAGTTGTATCTCACTAGTCTAAAGCAGTTGTATCTCACTAGTCTAAAGCAGTTGTATCTCACTAGTCTAAAGCAGTTGTATCTCACTAGTCTTAAAGCAGTTGTATCTCACTAGTCTAAAGCAGTTGTATCTCACTAGTCTAAAGCAGTTGTATCTCACTAGTCTTAAAGCAGTTGTATCTCACTAGTCTAAAGCAGTTGTATCTCACTAGTCTAAAGCAGTTGTATCTCACTAGTCTAAAGCAGTTGTATCTCACTAGTCTAAAGCAGTTGTATCTCACATGTCTTAAAGGAGTTGTATCTCACAAGTCTAAAGCAGTTGTATCTCACTAGTCTAAAGCAGTTGTATCTCACTAGTCTAAAGCAGTTGTATCTCACTAGTCTAAAGCAGTTGTATCTCACTAGTCTAAAGCAGTTGTATCTCACTAGTCTAAAGCAGTTGTATCTCACCAGTCTTAAAGCAGTTGTATCTCACTAGTCTAAAGCAGTTGTATCTCACTAGTCTAAAGCAGTTGTATCTCACTAGTCTTAAAGCAGTTGTATCTCACTAGTCTAAAGCAGTTGTATCTCACTAGTCTAAAGCAGTTGTATCTCACTAGTCTTAAAGCAGTTGTATCTCACTAGTCTAAAGCAGTTGTATCTCACTAGTCTAAAGCAGTTGTATCTCACTAGTCTAAAGCAGTTGTATCTCACTAGTCTAAAGCAGTTGTATCTCACATGTCTTAAAGCAGTTGTATCTCACAAGTCTAAAGCAGTTGTATCTCACTAATCTTAAGCAGTTGTATCTCACTAGTCTAAAGCAGTTGTATCTCACTAGTCTAAAGCAGTTGTATCTCACTAGTCTAAAGCAGTTGTATCTCACTAGTCTAAAGCAGTTGTATCTCACATGTCTTAAAGCAGTTGTATCTCACAAGTCTAAAGCAGTTGTATCTCACTAGTCTAAAGCAGTTGTATCTCACTAGTCTAAAGCAGTTGTATCTCACTAGTCTTAAAGCAGTTGTATCTCACTAGTCCAAAGCAGTTGTATCTCACTAGTCTAAAGCAGTTGTATCTCAAAGCAGTTGTATCTCAAAGCAGTTGTATTTCAAAGCAGTTATTCACATCAATCTATAAATAGACGCAGATGTAGTCTGCTGTGAGAGGCCAGGAAAGTACAGCTGTCAAAATTATCTTCTTATGTTCAGCCTGTTTATGTGTTCGTCCTTGCATCAGCTGGTCCAAGGTATAATAAACTCATTTGAACCATCAAGAATGGAAGTCCATCCTGCTCCGCATCCAACGCGAAGACATTTGAGCCTGCATTGAGTGGGTATCAATCCATAAAAAACTAGATAGAGGTTGATAAACATTCATCTAAAATGACCATATAATAATATTTTCTATTTGCATAGCTCTCACAATCAGATATGTCTATGTAATTAGATTATACAGTTGGCGTCTCGGTAAAAGCTGTGGGTATATTTGCTCTACGGCGGCCGTATGGCGGCCGTAGTTTCACATAATCGATATAGTAAATTTACATAGTACTGCTTATCCCTATATTTTATTCTGCATATTTCTCTCGATTATTTCAGGTTAGGCATGTATGGCAATGTTACTACCAATACAATAGGATTTCGATGTGCCAGTCCTATACAGGTCATCGCCACCTCAACATTGGCTCCTCCCACTGGGCCTCGTTTCCACAAACTCAGTGAGACTTTTGAGTATAAAGAACAGAAACGAAGAGAAGAGGAACTTAGATTTAAAAATGATGGAGAAGACCTGTTTGACATTGAGGATGGGGTTGATATCGAAGATTTAGTTTCGTTTTCCAAACATAATTTAACACTAGGAAATTCCAAACGTGATGAACTTTGACGAATTTAATATAGAACATGGTGGTCCATAGCCCATAGAAACAAAACCTAATAAAAACGGGCCTACCTTAAATGCATATTGTGAAACTTTCATACGTACTAATTCAAATCCCTAAAGATGAGGGGATGCGCGAGCATGTCTAGCCCGAAAATAGGTTTTTTTTAACTCAGAATGTTTGGCCCAACACAAGATGCTACGCAAAATACGTTTTAGAGACTTCATATATCAATAGACCTTCCAGATTTTGACACTTTAAGTGTGTTACAACAATTTTGCAGTACATTATTCTGAAAAAGTCTTCAAAGAACACTTTCACGTGTAATTAGTATGTATGTTAGGAGCAAGACGAAAAATCCGTAACTTAAACTTTAAGAACTTTTAAATAATAACCTAGTTTCTATAGGTCGATAACGACCGGGCTCAATTTATATTGTAATTTTATATATATGTACCTACTTTAGAGTGTGAATTATTCAAGTAACTAGCTATAAATACAGAAAAATATCATATCTTTTAAAAATACTTTGAGGAATATGATTCAGCACAGTAAAGTATACTATTTAAGTTGATTATGGTCAATCGGGTGCAGTGTTGGAAGGATATCCGAAATCAACAGTGTTCTAAACACAATATGGCATATAATATGTGCGCACTTCAGCCTTTCTTTCAAAACTTTAACTGCTTGTCATTCTAGTCAATTTATAGCATACCTGTAAATTGTTGTATGCCTCTTGAATCAAATAAATAAATGAAAAAATAGATAAAAGCTCTTGTTCGACGTAATTCGACATACAAACGCAAATGTACGTACATGTAAACACCTTAGACTTAACATATTTCACGGGTACTAAAACAAGACCTAAACACACTGTGAGCATATTGCATGCCATGTGCCTTAGCCATGGTGCTGCCGAGCAAGCTTACGGTATCCTAAGATCTGGTTAATACCCGTGATATTTGGAGACTATCGTCTAGAGACTGTTTAAAATTGTGATAAGTAGGTGACAATTGGAGTTTTCTAAGGTGATGAATAATATTATTTGGCTAAGTGAGAAACATTACCAGACACCACCCAGTCGTGCAATATTGTTTGATATTATTTCTGAAATATGAATATCTAGATCTTGACCAGCTAACATGTGGCCTTCAGTGTGGCATTGTTGATATTGTAAGTTATGTTATTATTTCAATTTGTCATCGAATTAGGCTAAATGAATGGCTGGATTAGTTTAATCAAGTCGAATAAAACTCAAAGCACGATTGATTTGATTAAACAATGAGTCTTGTTTATAGCATTAACGACAACATTATTGATTTTGCTTTTTTGCGTTTAAGTTTTCTAACATTTTATAATTCATTTTTTCTCTGAACCACTTTATTCGTTTTTACGAAATGTGTTGATTCCTTTACTATTTTTCAACAAATTTCTGATAGTAAGGAGAATACATACACCATTTTATGACACATTTTTTGGGATATACCCCAAAGATTGTAAATTATCATTTACAAAAACTCATAACTGTTTGTGCGCATATCGAAAATATACCGATTATCTTCATGCGAGTCATATTTCAATAAATACAAGGACTCGTTTTTTCATGGGTTGTGCAGCAGACAGTCAAACCTCCAAACAGCGAACACCATGGTGCGTTAAGTATTTCCCATGCCAAAGTTTTGTAAGATGGCTGTATCGGGAATTAGTTTTGCTGGAAGACGGATTGATTCCGGATGCATCCATCTTGCTTGGTATATTATGTTCCGTGTAGTTGTTCATCATTTTATGTTTGTTGTATTTATATAGGGAACAATTAGCTTGTCCAATAATTGATTACTATATATATATACATGTATTGTTGAGTTATTTTGACATAAATTACAATAAAAAATAAAAATAGGTTTCATGGATTTTTTGATAACATTAGGTACATGTAAGACAATGTAAATTGGATAAGACAATGTTAAAGCCAAATTGGTTTGAACACGATCCGACATATGAGGTAATCAATGGCTTGATTGATTGCTTTTACGGATTCCGTGGCCGTAAACTAGAACGACAATGAACCCTGCATGAATTAAAACGGAACAAAGCCTTATCTAGGCCCCTTACAGAATAAATTTATGATACGCAGTCGCAGTACCAGGTACTTGGGATTATGGTCAAAGTGGTAGCAGCAAATTAAGGTGCAAAATGGTAGAATTATTCCTTTTAAAAAGAATATCGATTTTATTTAAATTACTAGTGTTACTGCCTGAGCTATTGGAGTTTTTTAGAAATAGCCACGTTGTTACGCGGTAAACACGATACAAAAATATGTCATATTCCGCAACGAATATGGCATATTCACTTGCGGTGTAGGACAGATTCACCTGCGGTATATGGCATACACACTAACCAATGAGAATGTGATACGGAAGTACCCAATTGTCAATTGCATCGATTGAACGAACAAGTACAAAACGTTATAAATTATTATAATGATTACTGAATCAAACATTATCGAATATATTAACTTAGCAGAAGTATCAGTCGTGTAATAAACTTACTCAATCAATCCAGGATTCATATATTAGTACTCGACCAGAGGGGGAGAAACACCAGAGTTCAAAGATGACATACGCTTATAATGTTAATCTGTATTGAGATGACATCGTTGCTGATTGGTCAAAAGTCGACAAACAAATGACGTCATCAATGGCGGTTTCAAAATTTTCGAAATACGCTTCGAATAATACTATGTTCATTTCTGGCGTGTTAACCAATATCATAGCTTCTCATTTCACATCAAGTTAAAGAAAGGTGTACAGAATATGCCTATCAGTCAAGCCACGAATCTCTTTCACATTTGATCAATGTAGAAGTTGAAAAAATGAAATTTTAGATTGAGATATAAATGCATATACCATTAGCCATGGGGTTTAAGAAGCGTTTCTCAAAATATTTTTATTACCCTTTAAACAATTACTTGATTGTGCATCAAAACGTAAATATACTCTTAAATTGCTGGTGTCGATGATGGTGCATACATAGGCTTACATTGATTCATGTTTCAAAATTAATTTTGAGTTTAAAGATAAACTAATGTATTAAGTTTGAAATATTTAATCACATGAACAAAAATAAATTGCAATAGTTGTTGTTTATCTTAACAAGAGAATTTTATTAAGATAATCGTTGAAATACATTGTTTTGAGTTTCCCTAAAGATAATTAATTTCAAGATTTTGTTTTCTAAGCTAAATAATATGCCAAGTCAATTCCTCGATCGACAAAATGAATGTACAAATTAGACACACATGTCTTCTTACATCAAAATACAACATTGTTCCGAATAGGTCAATCATTCCTCCTTGTGATATTAAGTGTTATTTAACAGTGTCGCTGATGGTCGCTTAGGTTTTTAAACAATAACGTACATAATTTACACATTTAAGGTCGTCTTTTATTGCAATTAAAGCATGTAAATATTTCTCCAATGAGTATCCCCTTTACACGAGAACATTTCCCGGAATCATGAAACCAGTCGGGGCATTTAGAGCACTTGATCCATTCGAACTGCGATTGTAAATACGAATAATAGTTAACACCGCATGCCTTGCAAATATTTACAGTGTCTGTTCTTTTTATCGGGCCTTTCCTTTTCTTCGCGGAAACCATTGTGTCTGAAGACTTTGAACTTGTTGATGGGGTTATTAAAGGCCGACGCTTCAATGTGGTTGAAAGAGTGGAAACGTCGGAGGGCGTCGATGCTTTACTTGACGTACTGGGTGTCGGGTGTGCTCGTCGTGTGGTCCGTTTTGGTTTTAAAGATGGTTGCTCGGTGACCACCTTAGCTGCCTGCTGGGTCTTCCTAACGGTTATAAGGTTGTTCCTTTGCCAACCACAGGGTGAGGATGACGTATCTGTTCTGCATGCGTCACAATAGCACGATAATTCTCGCGTTTCAACAATATTATCGGAAACCCCTCTCACAGCATTGATTCGAAAGGTACCTGATACTGGTTTAAGTCCAGTCGCCCTATCTTCAATGTTTTAATAATGCGTTCTGGGATTTCTTGGATTTTCATTTGTGCCCTGGCAGTTTCACTTTGAGACTCTGAGCGTTCCCTTCAGTCTGGCGTGTTTTGATTGTTTCTCTATACACTTGGCGTATGCGTGCCCTGTATTCCCGGGATGCCTTGTCGTTCTTTTCTCTGATCCGTTGAAGAGCTTCAGCAGACAGGTTATTTCTCGGTGTATACGATGCTCGCTGTCGCAATCGTTCTTGCTCTGAGTAGCCTTTGGTATCTTTCTTTTTCTTTCTCTCCCTGTACTGTAGTCTTAGGGAACGACGACACTTCTCGGCGTTGGTGAGTGCCATATTCATATATCATCAGAAAGGTCTAATAAGTAAGACAGATCTGTTAATGAGAGTGTGGGAAGTTATGCACATTAATAAAATGTCACAAAACTGATTATCCCAATGAAATATTTATTGTTTTACAATAATGGCAAGAAATACATTTCGTCTAGTGGTACACTGAACGAAACGTTTATAAATTAAGAAGTATCGGGGAATGTGCATCTATATTTGTCAGTGATTTTATAAAACTATGAACTGCTCAATCATCCCAATTCTTGTGTCACATTACCATAGCATTTCAAAACAAACAGAATATGCATCATAAGTAAATAACATGATCTGCTTAATAGATTCAATTTTACTTATCACTAAACGTTGTAATCACAATTAACAATATGCTCTAAATCCTTAGCTCGGTATCACTGTAAAATGCTACACATACAACAAAATAGTCATTTAATGAATGTAGGTTAATTCAACAAATATATAGCATTCGATTATACATGTGACCTACTTAATATGTGGATAGTATTTTGGAGTCGTATGTGGTGGAGTCGTTGATGGTCGTAAATATCTCAATCTTTACGTGGTCAAAGAATAACATCAACAAAGCGTATTTTTATATTATCAATATATATTGAGACAAACCGTCAACACCATTACTTAACATTGAAACCTGATTTTGATTGAAAGCAGAGTGCAAAGACAACGTACTTGTAGAGTCGATGATGATTTTGAAAAATAGTACTTTACGTCGAAAAATACGTAACAAGCTAAATATGTTATATTCAAATGTATTTTGAAAATGTTTTACATCCGTTAATAAGGCAATTTATATTTCAAAGAAGTAAATGGGGGATTATCATGAATAGTGCAGAGGCTTCTCCACACCGTTGATTTCAAGCATGGTGTCGATGATGGTGCCTTCGAGGGCTACACATACTTAATGTCGATTTTCCAATAGTAAATTAGCAAATAAATTAATTCCAGCTAACGTACAATCGTCACGATGCAGTCTTTATGATGAAATTGTCAATTATCATAACAAAATACGTTCCAGAATATAAAAAAGTTACTGTCAATCAACATAAGGGTGATCGGTTACAAGGCAAAAAATGATAGTTTGGAATGTTCGACGATTGATAATGCGTTCAGCTTTTATAACCCTGAGATAAAAACTAAATGATAATTTGCAGGATTAAGAGACGTTTAATTTGATACCAAATACTCATGGTAGAGCGTATATTAAATAGCGGAATAAAAACATATAGTCATGTAACATAAAATTCGTTATAATGAAAGGAATACGTGGCCTGAGTGCTATGTCAATTAAAACATCTCATCGAAGTGTAGTATTTGATAACTAGCCAATGAAAAATCGAACGAACGAAGGTGGTAAGCAAGAGAGGTAATTATGTCTGTCATCTTTAAACTCTGGGGCTTTCCCTCCTCTTGTACTCGACGCACTAACTATATTGGTAATCCAGCGTAGTTTTACATTTAGAGTCGATTCTCGCAACCAATCAAATCAAGGCTTTCTGTATCACGTTTTCACCTGCGGTATATGTCATATTCACCTGCGGTATATGGCATATTCCGCAAGTGAGTATGACATATTCCGCAGGTGAGTATCGGGTATTCACTGAAATCAATGTATCGCATATTCACTGCGGAATATCGCATACTCACCTGCGGAATATGCCATATACCGCAGGTGAGTATGGCATATTCACCCGTATCACAAATACCGCGCAACCATGAATGTATGCCATATCCCGCGTAACACACGTCATGGAAAGTTTTCGAAAACAAAAATATTGTAAAATTGTGACAATTTAAAAAACTCAACTCGTTTCTGGGTCTTAGTTGCATGGCTTTTTCAAGTTTTCTTTTCATTTATTTTAATGAATGTTTGCACTATCCTATAGTAAAGTAAGATAAATAGTACGAAAAATAGCGATTACAAAACCGTCTCCGTGTGACATAAATATCTGTGGATTTCTTCAAAAGTTAAGTTTACGTACAATTCAATTATAGACTACAACCATGTTGTTATAAGAGAATTGATGATGATTGCCTGTTTCGGAGCAGATTGAACAACGGAATGATTACTAAAGATGTTATTACATGTATTATGTAAACACTATAGTTCCCGGTAGCCACAATTGATTGTTCGGCTTCTTATCGTTGTTGGCATAGACGTTGCAATTAGGGTACAAATGGTTCTACCTTCGGTGACATTTCACTTGAACGAGATAGAAAACCGTTTTACCATGAATATAATACGCTTGAAATCCACAAAAGTAATCTGACAAAAGTAGTTAAAAAACAGTAATTACTCAACATTTAAAGTTCTCTGGTTCTCAAGGGACAATTAATTTAACAAAAAGCACCAAAGAAATAATTTAGAAAGACATTATTTTCTTTTCACAGTCGAAATTACACTTTTCCCAACCCTCTCTATGGCGACAGGCTGACTAGGTTCAGAGCATCAATTCTTCACTTCACTTGCATGAACCAAAATTGGCTGAAATATAGTAGCCCAGACATAACAAGTCATGATTCTGTTTTTAATATGTTTTTGCTTTTCAGTCCATTTCAATAGTACAATGTGGACTCCTAAAGAAACTTCCTATTTTACAAAACTTCTCATTTTAAGGGTGTTTTATTTATTTTTTGTCTTACTCGTTGTTCTTACGTTTTCGAAGACAAAATGATTTTTAAAAAAATCTAAATTTTGTTAAAAATAATATAATTTTAATTTAAGTGTTAGGCATACGTTTTGATACTCAACGAAACAGTGAGTTACAGGAAACGCGTCACTTTAAAATTATGACAAAGCTTTTATACTCTTTCTACAATTAAAATGTGCAAATATTCTTTCGGAAGTGTGCAATAAGTCGATTCCCTAGATGTAGTAAAAAACTTTATTTATGATGTTTAATCAGTAATATACATTATTACTAATCGTCGTGATTCAACTGTAATAAATCGTAGCATTTATCGCTTATACATTTATAACTCTTGTAAAAAGCCAAGTAGATACTTATGATGTAGCTAAGTAATTTCACAGTGAATGCAGAACAAACAGTAATCTAATAATCGTCTTTATCATTACTTCATGGAATGTAAACTTAAGTTACATTTAATCATGAAAACTTCCAATAATGGAATTAAAAACTAATATTTAAACTGATGGAAATGGTGTCCATGAGTGGATGAGCACATTTCTAATCATATTCCTATCACAAATATGCAAACAATAATTTCAAAGAACAAGTCATTAATCGTTGGAATTTAGAACTCTATCCACTTTGTTAATATCCTATGATTTATTTATAAATCAGCTAAAATGCGAAGTCGTTTATATCCACCGTTTGTATGTGAGTGGTCCACTCCTTCCAGTACTTAAAGGCCCTAGTAGAGATAAATCGGTATTTTCCCGTTCTTTGGCTGCATTTTGAAATACTCAAAAGTTTTCCACCCCAACACTTTCCAGGGGCGTCTCTAGTGTTTTTTCAAAGAGGATGCGTCTACATCTCATAGCCATCATGGGTTGCATTTGAAACCTAGCTTTTCTACTTCTTTTTCCAAAGCATATCTTCGTCTTTCCCTGAGTCTCCTTCTCCAATGAACCCATGACGCCCATGTTTTTTGATAATAACATGGATTATGTTAATCTTATCGAGAGAGAAAACTGGGATTGGGCATTCTTCACAGGGGCATTATTGTACCACAGTGATATACTTGACATATAATGACTTATATTTGTGCTTGTAATGTCCTTTTACATGAGACATTGTCAAAATATCCAACAGAATTGAATAGTTTGTTACGGTCTTGTGTTAGTGGCTTTTATGTTGAGTCGGACTCGAAGACCCGCATTGTCTAAGTAGGTGTGGCAGACAAACGGAGGATTGTTATTGGGAAGATCAGAATCACAGAATGGACTGGTATTTGTGGGACGGGGTCTATGCTACTATATGTTGTATTTACATTTCATAGCGCCACCTGGTGAATACATATCCCCTGGTGGCAAAGCTGCTATTACCGAGTTGGAATATCTGTTATAAATGATGACCTCCTGAAAATACATACAAATATATATTTTGAGATAGCGTTTTTATAGCATATGAGCCGCTGGTATAGTATTGTTTTGAATACAAGGTAGTATATGAAGTTTTATATAGCCCTTTAAAAGTCATATAGAAGACGTAAATGTTGATTAGAATTACTATCTCAGCTGAAATATGAATTCCCAAAGCATCATGGTAATAATTACAAACTAATCTCTTGTGTAAAACTCACTGGCCTACGATATAAACAGAAGCAAACTATGCTCCTTCCTAAAAATTTGAATTCATTCATAAGTCATGAGATCTACATGTAAATTCAGAATGAGGCTTTCACATCTCAATGAAAAACAGTGGAGGAATTCCTACACACTTTTTTATGATGTCATTCGGGTTAAAACACAATTTTGAAGGTGGGATGATTCCAACCATATTCAAATAGTTAACTTTGAATATGGATTAAAGTTTAACAGTATCAAGGTAATTAGTTATCTTGAGATGATATCCCATAGTAGATTTTGCCAATTGACTTGTATTTCTTCTATTTGGCTTTAATATAAGTTGACAAATATTCATATTTACTTACTATGTATAATAAATCAAAAACTGCCAACTACACCTTAGAGTCATAATCACTGTTCCACAGCTGGATGACTCTAACCGCAGTTAGCTTCATTCAAAATGGTTGCCAAATTTAACTAAGCTGAATTTTTATTCAAAAAGTTTCGCCATGCAAACCAATAAACCTGTGATTGTAAAAAACACAAATAAATACCCACACACCCGCGATATTAGAGAATTTGAAAGAAAACTGCTTCACTTAGAATGACGAATTGATGATGACAACTTCAGTTAGAGTCATTCTAGGTGAATCTGTCTTCTTTAAAATTCTTCCATATCGTCGTGGTTGTTAGAGCATTTATCTGTGGTTAGTTGTTTACAATAGCAGCTTTATTAGTTAGCATGGCGAAGCATTTGGAAACCAGATTCAACTTAGTTTAGCTGAAATCAGAGGTTTATCGAAATCGAAAGAAAGGCAACCATTTTGAATGAAGCTAACTGCAGTTAGAGTCATCCAGGTGTGGAACAATAATTATGGTTATTTTACAAGGCATTGTCCCAAAAGAACTTCAATTGTGTCGTTCATATAAAAAAATGTTGACATCATTGGTCTTCTAGACTTACTTAATAAGGAGTTCGAGTCAATTAAGAGGCCCCAGAGTCTCATTTTGTCTACACTTACGTGAACAATTATTTTGTAATTTTTGCAAATTAGTCATGCCGACCAACCTTAGATTCCAATCCATTCGATTCATGTGAATGGTGGATTGGATCGGGAATCTTCAAAATATGGAATTGCCACAGTTTAAAACTCGGATTAAATATTATGCTGAAAGAGTGATGTACGTTTTAAAAATTTAATCTGAGGAATACATAAAGAATATGTGTTTAATTTCGTGTGTATTCGCTTAGAAAAACGTTAAGCTTAACTTTCTGATTATGTTAAAATATTCTCGAGCAGTGCTTGATTTTTTCGTAACATCTACCCACAAAATTTATCGGTTGGAAAATGTTATTTTTCACATTTCCCTTGATTTTTTCCCCTGTTGCCTAAGAGTGTCGAATAGTTTTATGAGAATATGTTCATATGTCTAAACTACACAATATACACTATAACAATCCACCTTTTATAATTTTTAATCCTTACCCTAAGATGTTTGAAAAATAGAGAGCTAGAATCTGTCCTCAAAACCAAATAGGAATGATTGAAACGGATATCATTATTTCTTCTATATGGCGCTCAATTTATTTTGAGTTATTTCTAAAATTACGAACACGTTGTGGCGCATTGTGTAACTTTGATGTAGGTAGGCGAACATGAATAGTTGAGCAAAACCATGCACGTAACGTAACGGAACAGATGGGACTGGAGGTAGAGACAATAGTGTCGAACATGATATCGTGAATTACAGTTTCAAGGTTCCAGGTGTTTAATCGAGGTATTGATCAATAGTTAGTGGGTTTGATGGATATACAGGGTGGGCCAAAAACGTCCACATTTTTATTTCGATACAATTTTTTGATAATGCATTGATTTCCATAAAGTTTTGGCAGGATATGCAGAAATCAATTTTACAAATGTTCTAAAACTGGAATAAATCAGTTTTAAGGGGTTTCTGAAAATGAAGGTGAATAGACACAAGGGGTCTATATGAAAAATTATTTCTGATCATTCAAAGCAAAAGGGTGTATTGAGAAAAAAGAAGATAAGATGGACTGGTTCAACACCAAGATGGACTGGTTCAACATCAAGAAAATACGGAATTGGCAGACGAAAGTTAGGATGAAAAATTATGTTCTCTTATTGACATGTGATTTATATTTAGTATTAATCGTTAAGGGCAATGAAGAAACAGGTTCTTTAATGTGTTGGCTCGATCAAGCACCGCGCTGATCTTTCTTGCCACAAATAAGATTTTGGAATAGCTTTCACTGTGAACACAGATTTTCCAAAAATCACCATTTTCTCTTGATGATTAATCATTTTTTCTTCTTGCTTATTCGGCTTGAGATACTATTATCCATGAGATATTGAAATCCATGCATTTTCAAAAAAGTTATATTGAAATAAAAAATATATATAGACGTTTTTGGCCCACTGTGTATATACATGTAACTAAATCACGATTTGATTAATAACTGCTTAGCTTCAATTATGAATTATTTATATGACGAACTTACAGATTGTAATTACAGATTGTAAATAGTTAGAGTGATATTATTTACATGCAACCTTTGTCTTCGTTTTATCCCATTGTTGGTACACTTTGGAATTCACTAGACGTTAAAAGTCAAGTGAAACAAAAGTGAGGAATTATATGGATGATTTTGGCGCAAACAGTTTGAGAGCTGCACCACAGTGATCATATGTTTCAGAGAGTGGTTTGCGAAAGGATCAGTTGGTGGAACGCTAGAATCATCTATTTTCTTTAAAGGAGTGGTATCGATATGGAGAACTGAATCAACAATGTTTTTCTCTTAAACCAATCATTGAAAACATTCTGTAAAAAACACGGTATTTTATGTAATGTTGACTGATTGACAACAATTTAATGCGAAAATTATTTAGAAATATTTTATGTAACTGTTTTTGTTACCATTTTTTGTTTTTCTAGTGCAATTGTTTTTGCTCCTTTCTACCAATTCTTGAGAATGAAAGAAAATGTCTTTCCGAACCTTGTTGGAACAAAATAGCATATACAACATGTTTTAGACCTCTCAATATTATAGTAATACAAGGGAATTTGGGGTTGATTTAAAAAAAGTATTCAAAAAATTAAAACAAAATCCCCCCAAAATAGATAAAAATCAAGATAAACCTTTTATTTCATGAACAAGATACTTTTTTAAAATCAACCAAAATATCCTTTGTACAATTACAATATTGAGAGACCTAAACATGTTGTGTTTATGTCGTTTTGTTCCAATGAGGTTCGAAGATGTTTCATTTCACTCTGGAAACGTGATACCAAGAGCAAAACAAGTGTATACATATTTTTCAAATCATATTGTAACCATTCAAAAGATGACCATTAATTTGACGATGTGTTAAATTTTTTTATGACTGGTTTAAGAGAAACGTGTGTTCAAAAAGTTCTCCATATCGATACCACTCCTTTATCTCACCAAATAGGATTTGGTAGGATCCTTGCAGCAAGGGTATATACTTTTTTTAATATAAGCATATATGAAGTCCTTTGAAGAAGGTTGCCATTGATTAAACTATTTTCGTGCAATTCTTATGCAACTTTATTAATATGTTAAAACGTTGAAAAATGATCCATGAATAATGGGAAGATAAATATATAATAATAATGCAAATACAACTTTCCAGATTTGACATTTTGAATTCTACATCATCCGCTGTTGACACATCTTACATATGTCAGCTTTTGTTAGACTCCCCTTCATAAATTTGGGAACCGGGGGTTTCAATTTGATAGCACATCGAACCCTATCAATGTTTGGATCTTTTGTTCTGTTCCTGAATCGATTATAGTTATAAAGTCCATTACATTAGTTATATTAGGATAGTTCGGAAAATCACAAATGTGATGAATTTTCAAATCGCCTGACACACACACAGGCTTTGAACTTTAGGTTGCCAGACTCATTGGGGAACGTAGCATCTCACTTGGATAAACGGTTCAAAATAGAACATTTATTATACATAAACATATTTAAAGTAACATCTTAAAGAATGAGAAGAACATCCAGTCCGTTGATACTGTCATGTTTATAGTACATATATAGTTAACCTGCACAGACGCTCAAATTACTTATCCAATACTGAATATGATATAATTGATATAAAGGTCAGCTATGGTCCGATAATTCAGGAAATTAACACATGTGGAACTAGTGACAGAATAGTGGTAATTCGTGTATACATGTATATAGTGAGCAATCTAGCTAGTAAAGCAAGCATTTGTAGATATCGATATCTAAATCGATGGTCACCCCAAAAATAAATCTGCATTGACATCAGATTGTCAATTGGAAATTTAATGAATGTGAAACATGAACATATATTGATTGGCATGTCCTTAATCACGCAAAAGGATGCCGTATCGTTAAAAAGAATACGGTAACATGTAAACATTTAACTATAAAAAGTATCTAGATGTATTACCTTTTTATTCTTCCAAAGGTTCTATTTCTATGACAAATTAAAAACATTTTTTGAGAGAGTGGCTTAATTGATCTGAATTATCAATTCGAATGAATTTCGAGGGAGAACGGTTCTGTCCGTCCGTATGTCCGGGCAGTAACTAAACTAACTCAATATCGTTTGTATTTTATACTTATATGCCCCATGTGAGTACAAGTTCTTCAAGACAGCTGATTTGGAAATGGCCACCGGTTTCAAAATGACCGCTATTTTAGTGTCAATTTTACAGTATTATAGGAACAACATACAGTATATATAATATGTATATGTGTTAATCTATTTTTGCTATAGCTGAAAAAATATTGTAGCGATTTTATTGAAATCTTAGTATGTGAATACATATATGCATATTTCATTTCTTATGACAATTTGAGTGGTAATCGGCCATTTTTTATGTGTGTTATTTTCCGTATTTGCTAACTGAAAAAGTAATGGAGCGATTTTGTTGAAACTGTATTGGTGAAAGAATGACAAATTGGTTAAAAGGCAGCCATTTGCTGTTCTTTTGTGACATTTGTAGTGTCTGGAAGCTAAAAGAGAATCACGCCTTTTTGTAACTATTGAGTGATAGAACGGATACATTTGGAACGCAATATAGTCAGTGTTAAATTGTTTAATTATAATCGATTGACTATCAAGAAATAGTTTGTACATCACAAACTGTATTCAGAAATACAGATTTATGTGTAGTTCAAGTTTCAAAGACAGCAACTTTTGATTCATTTTACACGGATTTGGTATTTCTTGGTAAGGACATCGCCAACGTCAAGACAACCGAGTGGGATGAGGCAAATAGGCTAATTTGATAATCGTATCATACTAATTTTTTATATTTTATATCATGGACTTTTACTTTCTATATCATGTAAACATTAGTTTGATTAGTCCACAAAGGTGTGAAATGACGCTCATGCTCCTCGTATGTAATTTTACTTATTGTTAGAGTATTACGATTAAATAAGAGTATTCAGTACCTTTTCTTCATTGAATAATTAGATTAATAACAGGTTTAGGGTATCGTATTTGAAATACTATTATGTAATTGTTAGTCCAGAGTTATCGAGTGAAGTGCCTTGTACAAACCTATAACACTTGTAGAGTCCTTTTGAAGACACTCTGATGCAGAATATAGATTTTGTATTGAAGAATGGAACGCTGACGTCATTTAGTTCTGGCCTCGCAATTAGTGAATTGACTGAATTCTCTATTCCATCATCACCTAAAACAGAAAATCCTCAGATTCAATGCTCATTTGTAGCACCCGGGTTAAATATCGTGTTGACAAAAGTAATGGGTAAAATGATATTTTCACTGGTGATCCACTCGATTACGCTGGTTACCGAAACGATTCGTTTCGGTAACAAAATGTCGGAACATCGAAGGTACGATTTTTCTTTTTTCCTTATTTCACACGTTGTAGGCAGAATTCCCACGACATTTTTAACACAAACGTGTATCAGTATCATATGTTTAAGAAAATGTACATATTTGCGAACAAATAGTTCAGAAGACAACAGAATCGTCGATTTAATTCCTCACTTAAGTTACATAAACGGTTTTTCGAAAAACAGTTAAGATCTGCACTTTTAACCCAAACCGTTTATGTAACTTACGTGAGGAATTAAGTCGACGATTCGGTTGTCTTCTGAGCTATTTTTTCGCAAACATGTACATATGATGCTGATACACGTTTGTGAGAAAAAACGTCGTTGGGATTCTGCCTACAACGCGTGAAATAGGGAAAAAAGAAAAATCGTACCTTCGACGTTCCGACATGTTGTTACCAAAACGAAGCGTTTCGGTAACCAGCGTAATCGAGCGGATCACCAGTGATTTTGATAGTTAACGATGATACGAATCATTATCGCATTGCTTGAAAAGACACGGTGGATCAGATCACAGCACCGCAGTATCAATTCCAGTAACAGATGCAATAATGTTCTCTTAACTAGCCAAAGCAAATAATGACAAGCCATAGGCGTAGTCAGGGGGACCCCTCCCCCCATAACCAATAAAAATAAGAAACATATGAGCAAGAAGAAAAGAGCTTTAAAATGCTTTTATTTGAAGCTTCTAGCTCATTGAATGAAGTTGCATCAATTTTTGTAAAATTCAAAATAAATATATTTTTTTGGCTTGTTTATGCCACAATCGCACCCCCCTGACTGAAAACCGAAATTGTTGGGGCGATCCCACCCCCAACCCCCCGACTGAAAGCTGGCTACGACCCTGCAAGCTTATATTGAATGCTACTTAGCCGTCCGATAAAGATAAACTGTCGTATTTAGAGCCTCTTTGAGACGCAAAGACGGCTAAATTGGTGGCTAATTTGGTGTAAGAATCACATTGGCCTTTACAAGTTTTCTTTCCTTTCCTTGTAATTATCTTTAACAGACAATATTATTGCAAAAAATTCCCTTTAGGGTGACTCAATTGGGTTTAATTAGAATTTACTGTCTCTGTTTCGTTATCTTGTTGTCGTTGTTGTCGATAAGTACCCAAAATATCAGCCGTATATGTTACACCTCAATAGACTGTACCTCAAAAGTGAGTGATTTCCTGAAGGAAATATATGGTTCATTAAAATAAATTGACAGTGTACACCAAGGAATGTAACAGACAATTATATGTTGCCCTTTGATAGTAAATAAGTGACCGGATATGTCAATCATTCTTAAAGTACATAAAACAGCCTCATATTACCCTACGCGCAGTCTAGTAAACGAAGCTCTCCATTAAGAAACGAAATCGAAAGAATGCAAATGGTAGCCTCATAGAAATCTTTGGATGGTCTCTTTATTTTCTTTTGTTAGAGGGGAGGCAGTTGGGGCCGCATCCGGGGGGTCGCAAAATTTGGTAGATAAGTACAGGGTGGGCAAAAAACGACCACATTTTTTATTTCAATAACTTTTTGAAAATGCATGGATTTCCATTAGGTTTGGGTAAGATATGCAGATACCAATTGTCCCTGAAGTTGGATAAATAAATCTCTAGGTTTTTTAATAGTAAAGGTAAACAGAGACTATGGGTCTATTTGAGAAATTACAGATTTCTGAATGTTATTCGAGGCAACGCGTTTACACTGATACTAGCCATGCCTCAAATCAAAGTACCAGATTGACATATTATTCAGTCTGTCAGAAAAACACATTTAGGAGTTTATTCTAATTTCTAATTTCCAGACAAATAAATGAATTTTAGAGGCATCTATCATAAGACAAATGCGTAAGATGAAGAAAAACTGATTTAGCATAAAGAGAAAACGATGATTTTTGGAAAATCTGTAAGAGCCTTTAATTATCCTTTAATTTGTCAAATATACCCCTAGTGTTTGTTTACCTTCGTAAAATCAAAAACCCCTAGAGATTTGTTAATCCAATTTTAGGAACATTTGTATAGTTCATTTCTGCATAATTCTGTCGAAATTTTGTTGGAAATCCATGTATTTTCAATAAAGTTGTATCGAAATAAAAATGTGGATGTTTTTGGCCCAGCCTGTAACAAAGACGTTAGAAGTGTATAATGCCAAATGTTTAAATAATAGGATAGTTTCTAAATAGCAGAAAATCTAGTGCTGCCATCTTTTATTCAGCTTTTAATTTGGGCTAGAGTTCCATTCACTTACATGCTAAAATCTTGGAAAAGTGGCTTAATTTCATGGTTTATCAAAGAGTGTTCGTTGAATCTGTATAAAACTTGAATGATATACCACACGATGACCCTATTTATATACAAGTTGTGATTAAACATGCAAATGTTGGTTGACATACAAATAATCCAAGGTTTTAAAGAATTTTAGCATTACATCTATGGAGATTTAGCCCACGTTTTTTTAAATTGTCATAGAAAATTATTCAAATTACATAACTGTGTAGATCAAAACTATTATAGGAGAAAACATTTCAAGTGAAATTGAATATAATTTCAGCTGAATTCAAATATGCCATTTAAAAGAATGTAATGTAAGTCATTAGAGGTTTAATATGCAAATCTCTTCAAATCTCACGAAAACCGAGATTTAGCGAGATTGGAAACTATACTATTCAGTAAAACAATATGTATCACTTAATTAAAACAAATGTTGGCAAAATCAAATAATCTTAAGCACTGTTAGGAAAATTAAATTAATTTTTTTACTCGATTTCAATCATACGAGAACCAAATAGGGTTCAGATATACCCACGTATCATTTCAAAGAAATCAAGGGTCTTTTGAAACTTATTGATGCGATCAAAAATGCCATTCAGATGTAATGATGAGGAATGTTTGATACACTACGGAACTACGTCGGAACAATGACTAGTGGTTTGGTAATTTCCTTCGAGCCAATTGAAAATCTTGCAGACGATATTGATGGCATGCTTTCGCTCTCAAATGTAAATCATAGGTATTGTATACATATAAATACTTCTCATACGTTTAATGATTCCTTGTATAGTCTGTTCCATCTTTTTGTATGATATCTGATCAGGAATGGGATGATAGGCAAGACACAAAAGACGTAAGGGCAGCATTGGAATTGTGGACCGGTTATTTATGGAAGGTTTCTCTGACTTGAGTACCTTTTGAAGTTACTTACAAATGTTTAAAGGTAGAATGTGTGAGCACTTTGCACTTATCGACTAGCTCTGTCGCCACAACAGCGCAAAGTTTATGGTTTGGTAACATCGGAAAGAAGTCAGTTCCTGTATTTATGATCGTTGCTTAATGGACTCGTTCCAATGTCTGGTCCCATGTTTCTATTGTCAATATCGTGTGGAGAAATCCATTTACTCCAAAGCAACAGAACCAGGTGTACATTCCAAATGTCAACATTTCAAGTTAACTCATGACATTTGTTACCCAATCTAATTAATGGTTTCATTTCGAGGAAATATAGAAAAACATATGCATATGATATCAATACTTCACTTAACCCTTGGGCTCAGGGTGGTTAATTGCTGGTGTCCACGTGTACGACGCTCGCATGGTCGTAATATGGTGTAATACGATAATACAATGCAAAAGCTTGTCTATAAATCGGAAGTTGATACCGTTACTTTTTAATGAGTGTTTGGATAATTATTTTTGCGAAAACATGGCCTTTTGGGTATTAACTGATGCATAAAATAATAGATCTAAGGTAGAATTTGAATCGTATTATAAAAAACAACATTGATGCCATGGAATTCTAATGTAATTTTTTTATGTTTGTTTTGCGGAATTAAATACAATGACAGTCAATTATCAAATAATATTGTTTGATATTGACAACGATATCTTTGGTATTCAATAAAGCAAAAATATTGAATGGGGGATGATTTCAAATGACACCATTTAGTTAGCATTCAAAAAAGCTTGAAAATGTCCACACTGATCTTTCAATGCAAAATCATTTCCGTTTGTGTAGGTATGGAATGCCTCTTCCAATGGATATAGACAGATAGTGCTCTAAAACTCAGATGCTAGCTAGTGGTAAATCTTTTTAAAAGACTCATCAAAATGTGGGTAAATAGAGCCAACGTCTTAGAAATTCCTTTCTTTCAAGTGAACCTCACGTTGGGTTGATTTTTTAATCATTAAAATATCTGATTCACAATCTAGTTTAGTTATGATATCCAAATCAATCGGAATTGTAATTTGTAGAAGTTTATTAAAAACACGGAACACTTGAAATTACTTCCCGTAAGAAGATATGATATTATGGTTGTGGTTTGACGTTCTAAGCGTCATAAAATTGGTTCTTAATGGTTTATACACAAGGTTCAGGGATATAAAAAGGTATGTGACAAATAAACTTGATACAAAGGTCCGACAATAGTAATAGAACCTCCAATATATAAAGGACCCGGTTTCATAGCAATCTCTAATTTCCGTCATCAGACTTTGATACAAAATATGATTTTGTAAAAAGAAAAGTAAAACAATAAAAACTTGGGATCAGAGTTAACATTTGTTATATTCCTTTGAGCCTGTTTTTAAAATATGAAAAAAAACTAAATCTATTATTATGTATCGTTTCGAAGGTCGGAGTTTCCATGGTAACTCACCTGAAGTTATATGTGACATCCACTCCAGTGGTATAATCCCCGACCTTTTTCCGAATCTCCCTTGTGGAGTCCACTGTCCTAACACCATTGACAGAGCCAACAGAATCACTGCAACCGTTAGCTCCAATCGCATCCTTCTCGGCGCACTGCTATATCCAGTATTCCAACTTTACCTCGCTCTCAATGCAATAGTCCAATTGATGTCGCTACCTCAGAAGCTCTATGTCTATTATAAAGTCTCACACCCACCATACATCGTTTAAGATCGTAACACCAGGCGTAATACAAACGCACAGTATGCGGAATTAACGTTTAATTGTAAAAATTAATAAATCAGATTGGATTGAGTGGAGTGTATGTGTGTCCATTGGCTAATTGCAGCGCTAAATCAATCAAAACTAACGAACGCAGCTATGAAATCATAATCAAATAGACATGACGAGTTCCGAGGGTGAACTGTCATTTGCGGGGGAAATGTTGCAACTGTGGTGTGGAAATGGACGGTAATGTGACACTGGGCTCATATGAAAACATCATGCCTTGCTACAACATTGCCTTTGATGTTGGAAACATATGTCAGAAACAGGAAACTGGATTAACATATGTAGACAGTATCTAATACCAGATATATTTATGTTAAAGCACTTAGATATTGTTTGCCATTCATTTAATTACTAGATATTCATGAAAAAATCTTCAAAAGATCTAAGCATATGTAGATATCATACATTTACATGATTTACTGCGATGTTTCTCAACTCAACCCTAGAAATACACAGTTACACCTGACTTCTGAAGTATTTATGATTTTAATCCCGTTAGATTTAATTTCCTTTTTACCTAGCCTCAACTTCCGTATTTATTCTTCACTGATCATGATTTTACTGCCGTGGGCGTCTCTCCCGATTCATAAATTATTATTGCTCATCAAAATCATGTCAAAAACTACAACTTATTATCCTCATTAAGACACGTTAGGATAATAACCTCCCGCTGAATCGAACCTATTCCGCAAAAGAATACAAATGCAATACAAACGTGTGTGAAATAAGGCATTCCTTAAATGGATAAAGAAAGTTATACATGTTGGAAGAATTTTTTCAACTTTCAACATAATGTAAATATTTTCCTCAAAATCCATCATTTATTTTTGAAAAAATGGTTGCTCAATCTGCTTTAATTATAGGGATGTCCCATTTTCAAAACCATCACCAGATAATCTTAAAATCAAAAGGTTATCCTGAAATAATTCAAAACTGTTTCCCACAAAGTCATGACATGAAATGATGACAAAAAATTAAAAATCTGTGACGACTTTTCGAAACTTACTCTAAACTTGTCTCTTATCGTTTCTTCTCCTTTTAATTTATAATCTTTGACTTGCTAATGTGGACATCATTGCAAAAACTGTAAGACTTTTGATCAAACATTATTGTTCAAAGCTATCGGGTTACAATGGAGACCTATTTGAAAAACATTGGAAAACAAGATACAGGGTAACCAAAATAGTTCAACCCATCAAATAGTTTTGTGGATATTTGACCTGTATGTCTCAAATCTCGAGTTGTGAAAGCTCAGTTTTTTATGAGAGATATGTCTGAAATATCAGAGCTTTTTTGTGAGGGATGTTGTTAAAGTACATACGATAAATCCCATATATTGAAGGATATTATTGGTAAATTGTTATAAGTAATTATTTGGTGGGTTGGACTTTCCTATACCTTGTACGTTTCTTTTTTTGCCGACGACGCTCCCCGAAGTCAAATTGATCATTGTTCTTCCATAGAACAATTAATGTTTGTAATGATAAATAGATATATAATGACTAATCTCATACACTCCAGATGATACCTCAATAGTGTGGTGCGGCCTAGCACCAATACGCGTTGAGACGGGAAGATTCGAGTGCCTAGCAGTTGATGATAGACTAATCACAATGTAATAGAGGATGAGAAACATGTAATGTTACACTATGAGGTCTACCATGACATACGACAGCAACGTTAACGCAAAATTTTATAATTAATCAAGGTACCAACCTTAATCCAATACTATTAATATGTTTGCCTGGAGTTTAGTTTATTTGTTAACACATACAGGGTGAGCACAAAAAGGTAACTCAAATAAATGTATGTTAATAACTTAGTCAATCAGCACTGGTTTGAAATTATAACGTGCACTATTATACCTTGTTCAATGTTCTTTCTATTGAGTTTCGTCGGACTTTTCTCAAATGGTCACGATTTTATGGTCATTTACAAAATATGCCCCAAATACAGAAACATGCCACACTCACTGAACATTAATCCCTCAAATTTTATCTGTGGTGCTAATGTCTGTACTTTAAACCCTTGAAACAATAGTTAAGAATGAAGGTGAGACTCATATAACACAAGATGTCTGTGCTCCTACTCCCGACACGTTCATAAATTTCAAAACTAGGTCACTTGACTTCAACTACTCATCGTGATCTAAATGCACTATCTTACCCTGTTAAAACATGATGTAAGTTATCCTAACATATTTATGCAAATGAAATCCTATCAATATCCTAGGTTTGGACTTTTAAAGTCCCCATTTGAAGATAACTTAACCAGCAATATTAAATCAATCTTCTTCCATGTTTTTAAGTACACTGTATGTCTCTCCCAAAACCAACCGCTTTTTGTAAAACCTGCCCTGATTGGCTAATATAAAGGGGTCATCAAACTATTCTGGAACCAAATTCAAATGTTATGATAATTTCAAATGAGCTTTAAAACCTTACAATAAATTGAAATACTAGATATAGTATTTACATTAACATATGTGTGAAATAATTATATCTGGGCATAAAATATGAAAAGTAACAACCCAGGGTTGTTACATTATTAACATTTCGTTGGATTACCTTTTTTGGCTTACCCTGTATTAGCTTCATTGTCGTTAAAA